ACAAACTAGCTAAGCTCCCCATGTCACTATTACCTGGCAGCTCAGCTGATCCTCACTATTTTATTTTATTTATTATTCTCATATTCTCTCACAATATCATAATAAATATCAAAATATTTATTAATTCTTCCCGCACAGGATCAAATAACCTAAAAGAAAACAGCCGTATTATGATCATCCTATGTCCTCATAATCCAATCTCTCTTTTTTTTCTTTGTGTAACTCGTATAACTATTAAGCCATTATGATGCAGCCCACTGAATGATAATGCCGCGGGATTTAAAAACCGAACTTGAAGAGAAAAAAATTTTTCTTTTCCTTTCACTCCACTAATTTATAAGTTCTAACTGACGAACGGTCCTCTGCTAAGGACGGGATCGATGCATTCGTGTCGCTGTTTGCGGAAATGTAACCTCACCTCCAAATCTCCACCCACCACCCACCTCCCCGGAGAGCTAGGTTCCCTGGAGCTTGGGGAGCTTCACACCCGGTCTAGCTACAGAGTTCAGGACGATGGGGATCCACTTGACTGGCCCTGAGCTTGTTTGTTGGGGTAGGAGGGGGAGGAGTTACGAAGCTGGCTGAATTACCAACCAAGAATGTGTTAAGCTAAAAGGTATAGCATTCGCTATGGATCACCTGGTCAACGCCGCTCTCCGGGTATTGTCTCCCCTCGTACATACGACACCAACCAAGCCAGCAAGTCCCCACCCAAAGGAAGTAGTAGTAGTAGCAGCAGCAATAACAAACACACAATAAAAAAAAAACATCAATAGTAAGACATAGTTTAGAGCAAAAGTAATCACTCAACGTATAGGGTACTCATGCACTAACGGGAAAATCCTCCATGGTAAAAAATTCATCAAACGCCGTTTCCGATTCCGGCAGTTGCGGACCGCTGCCCAGTCCAAATGCGAACCGGCTGAAATCTTCATAGTCAGGATCCATATGGTGCTCCTGTGCGTACCCCATCACACCCTCGTCCTTGTTCAGGTCTAGCCCCCAGAGACCCGGGTCTTGTCCCGTCGATGTAGGGGACTGCGGTGTGCTGGGTGTCGGGCACAAATCTGGTGTCGGCACTGGCTCCGTGGAATCCATCGGCATACCTGGCGGGGAGTTGAGCTGGGACAGGTTGGCCAGGCTTTGTGTCCGCAGAGCTTGACCAGGCTCTGACCGGACTCGAGTGTGCTGGTACATCGGGTGGGCCGGTCGAGGACCGGCCGACGCCGATGAGGACGAGGAGGACGTTGTTGTTGTTGTGGGAGGCACCGTAGCACTAGTGCTAGATGCTGCGGGAGTTGCAAGCAAAGGGGAAGGCATCGTGTGAACGGGAATGACCGGCGCCGACCCCATGCGGTCCCGGAACTGACGGACCGGCATGGCGCCCATCTCGCCCATCGTCGTGGCCGGGATGTGCTGTGACGGCGACACGAACCCTCCTGTCCAAGGCGATCGCATGGGCTGCGGCCCGTTCAGCTGCGCCGGCCAGGTGGGTCCACCCGCGGTCTGGGTGAGGTAGGATGGTAGTTGGCCCGACGACGCGGGGACGACGCTGGGATACGACGGCGACTGGGAAGTTCCGTCGTATGTGGGGGAAAGCACATAGCTACCCTGGTGTGGTCCCAACGGACTGGTCATTGGTCCGGTGTTCATGCCGTCGGAGACAGAGGCACGAAGCCCAGACAAGTCCAGACTCATCTTGCGGATGCCGTTGAGCGATGCCCGCGGGTTGAGGTGGGAGCTGGCCCGACGCTGGTGCAGAGCACTTGGACGGTTCGCAAAAGCAGCCATGAGATTGCGGTTGAACTCGGTTTGCAGCTGCATCGACTGAGCGTGCAGCATACGGTTGATTTTCTCTTGGTAGCGGTCATCGACCTCTTCGTACATGGCCTCGCGTTCAACGATTTCCCGGCTGATGAGGAGAGCCTTGCCGGTCCGTTGCTTGTGCAGGCTGGAGGCCCGGTTGGCCGATTCCACGCGAGCATCTAAGCTGCGGTCTTTACGGCGGGAGGCGGCTATGAAGGCACTGTTTCCTCGTCAGCGGATTTGCAGGCAGAGAGAAAAAAGTGGCCAAAAAGATAGCCTACCGTTCCTGGTTCTCCTCCTTTGTGCGGGGATTGGGACAAACATCAACATCGATGGCGGGGGAGCCCATCGTGAGAGTGTGTGTAGCGGATAGTGACGGAGAAAGCAGTGTAGCAGTGTAGCAGTATGGTGTGATGTGTGGCGCGGCGTGCGTAAGCAGGGGAGACTGAGCAGATGACTGCAAGATCGACAGCAGTTTTGAGGCAGGAGGGAGATGTTTCACCACGCCTTGTACATAAGAAAACAATAATAGAAAGGGGGAACAGAAAAGACGGGGGGTTGAAGTTAAATAAAATGGCAGCTCTTGAATTAACGGCAAGCCAAGGAGGGGCATCCAACAGTGAGCAGACCGTCAGTAGAGTTGACACCGGGCGTGGTTCAAGCAGCGAAGTTTAGCTGTCAGGTCACAACAGCTCAGCCAGCCAAAGGCCGAGTCTAGACGAGACATCCAGCACCGGGGCAAATCTGGGTCGCCAAAACAAGGGCCGACCAAAAGTCAGGCTCCCAATGAACCATGGAACGAGCGACAGCGCAAGGTTTCTTGCAGAGCCGGGTCTCAGGCCTGGGAAGGGACTGGATCCCATGGAAAAGCGGAAGTCTGAAGTGGGTGACTAGCAGGGGTGGCTAGGGGCGAACCGGAACCATTTTCCAGGGAAACCAAAGAGAGAGAGTGTGTGTGTGTGAATAAGGAGCCGGCAATAGTACTAAGTTGACGAAAAGAAACCGAATAAAGATAAGCAGGTGAGGAAACAAGAAGATGAGATTGAGATGAGCTCGAAGAGGTGAGGAGAAGAGAGGAAAGAGACCAGATTGAGTGGGGGGGAAGCTACACACGAAGCGGAGAAATCGCATCCCAGGATGATCCTCGTGATGTGGGAACACGATCGATCTTGTCAGGATGAAGTCGCCGGCAGGTATCTTGCCAGTACTTTCTCAGCGAGAAAGTACATCCCAGTAACTACTTACTAGACTATACCGTTACGAGAATCTTACTAAAGATACACTACTAATACTACCCGAACAGCCTAAACTAGTGCAGAGATCGGCCAGGTCCGATCCCACAGTGTGATTGGCTGTAACAGCTTATCTTTACCGTATCGGGTAGGATGACAGATGCGCGGGTTTTCGTCCGTAATCCGAGCGTACGCGCTACTGTAGGAACCTCGGGGAGTTGTTCGGCCTCGTAACTTTCACGACCACCACTTCTTCTTACTCTCCACCGCTGATCTTCCCCTCTGCCTCCACCTGCCAGATCTTCAGTCCAAGCCACTATCTCTATTTACTGTACACAGACAGTTAGACCGATTAACAGCGAGATCAACAGTAGACAAGAATACGAGATGTGGATCTTTCATCGACCTGACGCATACCTAATCTGGGAATTCCTCTACCCTGTCTGTCTGGATAAGAGCTATCTCGCATCCATTATTGGATAGTTACTACTAAGTACTCACTCACTCACTCACAACAACACTAATTTGATTATATGAACATATGAACAGTGAAATAGAAGTAAGAACATCGCCAAGACCCTCGCTTAACAACAACATAGACATTATTGCCCATAACCAAATAACTACATATCTGATCGCCTCCCCCTCCATACAAATCAGGCCATATCCCCCTCAAACCCACGGAATCAAGTCTGGATAATAACCACCACCCAAAGTAAAAATCCCGTAGCCACCGCCACGCCACCTACCCAAACCCCAGGAACAAATTCCTTGCCCTCTCGCGCTCTCTCTCTCCTTCCAGCTGCCCATCTAGTAACTCTACCCAGGTACTTAGCTACTGCCCAGCACCTTCGGCAAGCTCGTCTACTTTCCCTTTCCAGCACTACAGACAAGACCCTGTCGCCTTATGTATACCTAGACCTCACTCACTCACATACAACACATCTAGGCTTTCCCTCGGGCCTTATCCTCTTTCCCCCTTTCCCAATCTAGTTCTAGTTACCCATATCGGCTTCTACCGCCATCCACCCAACCCAAAACATCCATCTATCCCATCCCATACAGTAGTACTATAGCTCCCATCTTCCTCTCTACGCCCCCTCCCCGCCCCCCATCGCCCCCTTTTTTTTTCGCCACGAGAGAGAGAGGCAACCCCACATACGTACATGGTACATACCCCGGGGACATCACTAACTCGCGGGATATGATGTTGTTGCATGTCTCCTGTCCTATCTGTGTCCTTGGTTAGGCTTGGCTTTTTGTTCGTGTGGCTGGCAAGGGGGCGGCGTGAATTACAGGGACCAGGTTGATGGGAAGAAAACCCAGTACCTAGGTTACTGGGTGAAAGTCCGGGCTGGTTCTAGAGGGGGGAAGGGGGGCGTTTTGGTTTGGTCCGTGAGTCCGGTCGGGCGAGGGGGGAAGGGAAACATGGGTTGGATGGATGCTTTGCTTGCATTGCGTGCATACAATGTAGATTGATGGAGGGATGGGATGGTGATAATAGATAATTGATTTGGTTTGTGACAATACAGGGGACAATTGGTTTGTCTTTTGTTTCTGTGCTTATTGGATTACTTGGTTTTAAATTAAGTTGTCGTTGGTTAAGTTCATTTGGGCATAGGAAGCTAGCCAGCTAGAGACCTAGTAGGTACTAGTAGCTATTACTTACTACCTATCTGAGGAGGAGATGGTGTAGGTTGGGGGGTGGGCTGTCAAACTTGCTTGAGTTGGTATACACAGAATAAAAGGGGGAAAGAAACTAAATCATCCACACAAGGGCAGGCAACTATGCAGGGCTAGCTAGCAAGAGAAAAGCTATCAATCACACTTTCAAACAATCCCCTCCCCCTCCCATCAAACACGGTGGAGAAAAGGGAAAAAGAAGTGTGGGGGAGAGGGGATAGCAAGAAGGGAGACTAAATCCTGTCCGACAAAAAGTGTAAGTAACAGAAAGTTATCAAATCAGGCTATACCCAACGACGGCACCATCCCCTGTTCCTCCTTGTGCTCACTGCCCACCCGGTACGACACTCGGAACCGCATTTTGATGGAGTTGCCCTTGCCCCCCGCTACCCCGGAGATGAGCATCTCCTGCTGCACTCCGTTCGTTTGCAGCGGTCCAATGTCCCGCCCGGACTGCGGGCGGAGTTGCAATGTGTACGCCTATGTGAATTGTTTAGCTTCTTCCTTTTCTGTCTGTCGGTTTCCTGTGCCCTGTCCAGAGGGAAGCGGGCAGAACTTTGCGACTCACCTTCTCCACAGCCACCTGGAAGTGTAGTTCATTCAGTGGCTGGCTCGTGCCGTTCGAAAACAGGGCCACCACATGGATTTGCTGCGACTGTTGGGGGTTTCGCCGCGCCACAAATTCAATTCGGAGAGCCGAATTCAGTACCGACACCCGGTTGGTGCTCGGTAGCGTGTTGCTCTCTGGCAGCGACGATGCAAAATTCCATTCGTCCTCCTCCGCCGCCTTGCCGCTGCTGCCAACCGGTTGCGTCGGTCCGCTTCCTGCCAGATCAAGCAGGGACCCCCCAGGGGCTGCATGACCTGCTGCTGATCCTCCGGATGGGAGGGGACTGGCATGTCGGGGACTAGCGGAGACCAGCGAAGCGAATGGGTCGACAGCGGGTGGGGGAGTGGGCGTCGCGACGATACTCTGGGGTCGTGCTCCTGGCACTGGAGTAGCTGACTGCGATGGCGGCTGAGAAGAACTGCCCAGCGAGGACAAGATGTCGTAGTTCGGCTTGAATCCAGCATGAGCCTGCGGCATGGGTGGTGTGGCAGTGGTCGTAATGGCTAGCACGAGCATTAGTCATGTCAAATCAGTCATGTCAGCAACAGATGTCTCCTACATGGTCCTAACGAGATACCACCCACAGCCGGAGCGGGCTCGTCTATTGACAGCCCCAGCAAGTCGTTCTCCAATGAACTACTTCCGGTCGCGGCCGGCGCACCGTTGCCGTTTGCACTGACAGGCGGCTCCGGGTCGAAGTCGATAAGCGACAGCTGGTTGTTCGCATTCTTCGATACACCCGTCGTCGTGCCCAGTGTGCCCTTGGGGATCCGCGTTGCGGCTTCCCAGTCACCCTTCTTGACAAGCTTGTACCGCTCAATGGTCCGATGTATGCTGTCATTGATCTCGAGCAATTTGTGAACCGCCTCCGGATCGTCCGACTCCTCCTCACACATCTTCTGGATCTTGGGATGGGCACTCTGCAGCGCCCCAGCCAGTTCCTAGGCAACCCGACAGTCAGTTGATGGTCAAACGAGACACTGCGCGCACCTCCAAGCTTACCTCAAACACATCACCCTCCGCGACCGGGTCGCCAGGCTGGTGACTCTGTAGCATTTCCTCCAAGATCTTCGCCTTCTGCTGCACCTTGGCGACCTCTTCCGCCGCCTTGGCCCGGTAATCAGTCTTGTGTCTGTTATCGTAACCGGCCATGACCTTCATCAGACGATTAGCCTCCTGCAGATCCGCAGGCGTACCCCTACGAATTAGCTCCTGCAATTTAGCCGACTGGGCCTCTTTCTCTTCCTCCTCCATCTCCTCCGCGGACCGCAGATTCTATCGAAAACCACTAGTCAGCAACTCTCCCTCGAAGCGGTGGGGGTGGGATCACGCACATCGCTCGGGTTCAAGACGGCCGCATCCTCATGGCGAATTTCCGGGAACACATAGCCCTTGTAGAGTAATAGCCGATGCATATCACGAATATGGCCTAGATCCTCCTTATAGCGCGATGTCTGGCAGATCGTCTGTCTCCACTCCTCAATGGACTCGAGGATGCGATGTTGCACCCGAGTCGGCCGCAGCTGCGGACGCTCGGGGAATCGACGAACCAGCTCATTCAGAAACTCTTTAGTGCTGATCTGAAGGTGAAACGGGTAACCGCAATTTTTGACGCAGATGTCGAGAAGCTAAAAGGTGACAGGAGTCGCAGGGTGGAATGTTAGCCCCGCATTCAGGCACATCTAAGCTCCATTATGTGGTTGGTCTGGACAAAAGCCTACCGCCAATGCTAGTAACGCCACATTCTGATTCCGCGAGTTGATTAGATGGACGATTTCGAAGGCAGCTTCGCGAGGTCTGGAGGTGGAGGGTTGAGTGGTTAGTCAACGGCGCGGTCGGTGGACGCGACACAGTAGTAGCAACTCACGCATTGCCCTTCTTGGAGTTGATCAGATCGGCCACTTCAAGGTTCAGGGCGAGGTTGGGTTCGTAGTGCGACAAGTCGCAGGCATTACCTGTATTAATCGTAAATATTTAGCCAACCAAGAATAAAACAAATCTGTATCGCGGTGTGTGTGCGTGTGCGTGTTGCTTTTGGGAGGGACAAGAACAGGGGTGACGTACGAATAGCCCGTTGCAGCGGTGTTAAGCCCGGCTCAGCGTAGGCACCGAAACGGTCCCTCGCTGCCATGCGTGCTGAAGCGGCCTCCAGGGTGACGGCGGAATATAGGTAAGATGGATAAAAGGGAGAGGAAATAGAAGCACAATTGACAGAGGGAGTCAGTCGAACAGGACGACTCGGGGCGGAGTGAGGGGAAAGGACCGGAGAGGGAGAGATAGAGAGGGGAGATGAGTTAGTAGCTCGAGTCGAACTGACTTGACTTGGTTTACTTGCCCGACTCCGGCTGGCTGGCTTTAGTTCGTTTTCCACGTGTGGCGCCCGCCGTCATCTTCAACTTTCCCCTCCTTCATTCCTTTTAATTTTCCGCAGTTCTTCAATCCCCCCAACTGTCACGCAAAACAACAATAACGACAACCTATATACATCATGGTCCGCCATAAAAAGGACAACTTCGCTCGAGGAGGCAAGAAATTCTCCTCCAAGGGTCCCCGTCCTCCCCGCCGCGATCCCGCCGACCCTGACGCCGATGATGCCGACCGCCCCTCCAGACCTCCCTTCAAAGCCGCCTGCTGGGATCTGGGTCACTGTGATCCCAAGCGCTGCTCAGGAAAGAGGTTGATGAACTTTGGTCTGATGCGCGAGCTGCAGATTGGTCAGCGATTCCCAGGTGTAATTGTCTCGTACGTTTTTCACCCATCCTTACCTACACAATACTCACAGAGGCAACCCCAAAAGCTAACATCTATATCACACCTGTCCAGTCCCAACGCAAAGAAAATCATCTCCCCCGCTGACAAAGACCTCCTCGAACAATTCGGCGCCGCAGTAGTAGAATGTTCCTGGGTGCGAGTGAAGGAAGTTCCCTGGTCGCGGATCGGAGGCAAATGCGAACGACTCCGTAAGCCCTCAAACCCTTAACAACCCAAACCTCCAACAACACTAACAAACTATCTTGGAATAAAATAGTACCCTACCTCATCGCCGCCAACACAGTCAACTACGGCAAACCCTGGCGTCTAAACTGCGTCGAAGCGCTAGCCGCCTGTTTCTGCATCTGCGGCCACGAAGACTGGGCCCGCCAAGTCCTGAAACCCTTCCGCTACGGCGAAGCCTTCCTAGAAATCAACGGGAAACTACTTAAGCGGTACGCCGCGTGCGCCGACGAAGACGAAATCAAGCGCGCCGAGGAGGAATGGCTGGCCAAGATCGAGCGCGAATATGAGGAGAGTCGGGCCGCGGGCGGCGCAGATATCTGGACAGTGGGAAATACGAATCGGAGGGTGGAGTCGGATTCCGATGACGATGATGAGGAGGGCTCTGGCAAGGAGAACAACGATGAGGAAGAAGAGGAAGAGGAAGATAAAGACCCCTTCGCGATATCAGACGACTCCGAAGAAGAAGAACAAATGGCCGCTATTCGCGCCAAGATCCTGAATTCCAAATCGTTTCAGAACCCCTCTGCCTCGGATAAGCCGCAGCCGGAGAAGATTGCTCGGCCGGAGGAGGAAGGGTCCAAGTCGAGACCGTTGGAGGATTCGGATGCCGAGTCCGGGTCCGCGGAGGGTAGTGAGGATGAGGCGTTCGATAGTATCATCAATGCGACGCCGGTGACGGATCGGATGGGGATTATTGCGGCGCAGAAGAAGAAGGAGAAGGAGACATTTAGTGCGTCGTTTTCGAGGACGGTCGTGGATGCGCCGAAGAGGTGGTAAGGGGGAAATCCTTTTCTTATTTTTCCTGCTTGGATGGGATTGGATATGTTATTGGATTTGGATGTCTAAAAGTTATATGATATGAGCATGCATCTCATGGGTACATATAAATAGGCATGAATATAATGAATGATACCCTGATGAGGTGGAGCATGGATGGAGTAGTAATTTACTGATCGATTGATTTTGATTTATCGGTCTTTCTTTTCTTCAATATGAACAGCGAAAGCCAGCCCCCATCCCAGTCACATACAATGCAAGTAAGGCATAACGAGGCATTTCAGACATACTCAAGGCGATCTTAGCATCTCACGCTTAGCCAGAGGGGTGGGTAGTAAAGGGAAGAAAGTTGAAGAACAATGAATTGACTGAACCCCTTTTGCCCTGTTCCGAATGAAGAGAAATAACTACCCCCCGCAAGCACCCCGCAAATTACAAAGCAACTATTTACATAACATAGAGCAGATTCACATCTAAAAGATTCCGTCAGAAAACTCCATCTTCCCAAAACAATCACGAAGCGACAGGCGACTGCTTACCCAAGGGATGGCTGCAGCTCAGCTGCGGCTTCTGCGTATATTTGGCGGACAACTCGTCTCGGATGCTGTTCAGCAGCTGCACGTAACTCTGCTGCGGGTTTTTGCGAAGCGCGCTGATAAAGGCCCAGGACATGGCGCCGGTGGCTTGGCCGGCGATCTGGGCGTCCTGGCTGGTCTGGTCGTCCTTGCTGCCGGACCACATAACTACGTCGGCCGGACTGGTCTTGGTCTGGATGGTGCGCTCGTATGCCTCGTCGCCCTTGGTCGCCTTCTTGAAGAACCCGACGGCCGTCGACATCATGCTGCTCATGTCGCCACGCGCGTAAGCCGACACCACACCCAGCAGGCCCTGACCCGCTTCCTTGGCCAAGTTGGGCTCCTTGAGGATACCCTGGGTCGAGTAGATGTAGGGCAGGTCGAGCGCGGAACCTGAGTGACAGGAATCGAAGATAGCCGTCAGTCGGACACCCGGCTGCAGCGGTTTGACCATAATCCGGTGCATCTCGTCGTCGACAATGTGGCCCGCAGCCCGGAAATCGACCGGGTAGATGACTTCGTCGTATCCGTCGTCTTCGTCGCCGTCGAGGTCAGGCGTCTGACCACCATGTCCTGCTATCGTTAGAACCAATCCAGCAAGTCGGGGTTTTGTTTAGGACATACCAGAATAGTGGAAGAAGAGCGAATCGTTCGGCTGGGCATCCTTGACGAGCCAGTGCATAGCCCGAAGAATGTTAGCCTTGGTGGGTTGACTCATGGGGTTTTGTTGATCATCCGTCAGGACAACCATGTCTTCGCGAGCGTATCCGAAGTTCTGGTTCAAGTAGGTGGACATGTTCTTGACATCGTTGATACATCCGCGCAGCTGGCCCTTCTGGTTGAAGTAGTTGATACCGATCAGCAGCGCCTTTCTCTTGCCGGTGCAGCGCGAGTACTGGAAGTTGTAGCCCTGCGGCGCGCCTTGGCCGAAGCTGACAGGGTCGCTAGGGGGAGGTGCAGGGGCGCTGTGGTTGCCTTGGTTGTAGGAGTTATGGTAGACGTCGGCGATGCCTGAGAGAGAGAGAAAGGCGTCAGTTGGGATAGAAACTGGCTCGAAACATCGCAGCGACATACCTGGCCGGCCCCCATACATCGGGCCTTGGCTGGCAGCGGGATAGCCACCCTAGAAGAAGCGACGTCAGCTACCATCCAACCCACCAGCATGCAGAACTGCGATGCATCCATCATGCAAGACATACATTATAACCATTCTGGGGGGGTTGCGATCCTTGGTACGGCTGAGGAGAGGGCTGATTGTATTGGTAAGGGTTGCTGGGAGGCTGCTGTTGGCGATAAGCCTGGCCGGGGTAACCACCGCCCCCGTAGGACGAGTGGTGGTGTGAGTGGTGAGGGTTCATCTGTCTGCCAAAGCTACGTCAGCGCGACGCCTAGAAGTAGTACTTTTTGTATTTTTATGATTGCTGCAGAGGGAACGGAGTTTATAGAGAATACAATCTCACGGAGGGGAGCAAGCAAGGAGATCTCACGGCTGCTGATATTGCGGCGGGGAGCCATAGCTCTGCTGCTGCGGAGGATAGGAATATTGCTGCGGAGGGTACCCGGGCGGGCCCGAGTAAGGTGGATAGTAGGACATGGTCTGACAAGAAAGAGGGGGGAGAGGGGGGGAAGAAGAAGAGATCAGGTGAAACCAGAAAAAAAAGGTTCGATGTGAGGATGGGAATGCAAGCCGGCAGGAAGCAGACAAATAAGAGGTGAACGAGGGATGGGGGGGTGTGGGTGGGAAGGGGAAGGATGGAGGAGGAACAAGAAAAGGCGCAGGCGTCAGTCAGATGGCCGATGGCAGCAAGATTGCAGCAAAGCCAGTGCAGCGGATCGCGCCGATTGGGTTCCGGACCGGGGAGGAAGGGGGAATGATGATGGAATGAATACAGAAGATCAATAGATATACTAAAAAAGACCCAAATGACTGGGAAACTACTAACTGATGGGCGATTCTTACTCCTCGAGGAAAAGCACGACTAAATTTATATCTTAATGGTTTCTCCTGCACGACGCACGTCCTTCCATTCGGTCCCTCCGGCGCAGAAAAACAAAGCATGCCTCGGTCTTCCCCGATCCCTTTTTCGTCTCTCCTGTGCTTCTGCTTCTTCTTCTTCTTCTTCTGCCATAAGCAAACAACGAACATGCCCAATTTCAGACAGCCAGCCAACCCCGATCCACATCTTAAATAGCACGGACTCGCCTATCCACCCCCTTGGGCCCAGAACACTCAATCCAGAAAATTCCCATTGTCCATTCCCTAGATTTCCAGCATTGCAGAAATCCTGGCTTGTTTTCTGCTTGCTGCACGTGACTGTGCAACACCCGCTACACCGAAGAATTGAATAGTTCCATACGTAGTAGACAGACACCCCAGGCACTGATTATAAACAACTCAAATTTTCCCCGTATAGTCGATGGGATATTCGAAATTGGCTTTACTGTACTATTGGTACCTCTCTTCTTTCCTCCAACCTATCCCATTCCATCCTTCGTCTTCCGAACATTTACCGTCCACGCCGGGGCATGCCACGTCCGCGGCCTCCTCCAAGCGCCCGCTGGGCAGCACCCGGCGGGAGGCCTCGTGTTGGGGCCTGAGCTTGGGCCGACTCTTCGTTCTCTGTAAAAGGAAGAAAAAAAGGAAGAAACACCATTGGTCAGCCTGAAAGATACTATAGGGCTTTAGGGAGACACTATATCACTGGGGTACTCACTGATAGTCTCGTCCACACTCAAGATCAAGCATGCAGCCTCCACTGCCGCCTGAATGGCGTTCACCTTGACCAGGCTGGGCTCCCACACGAAAGCCGCCATGTTGTCCCGGACGCCCTCGTGATCAAAGTCGACACCCGCCCAGACGTTGCCCTTGCGGTGCTCCACCCGCAGCCGGTTCAGAATGTCCGTCGCATCGAAACCCGCGTTATCGCACAGCTGGCGGGGAATCACCTCCAGAGCCTTGGCGAACGCCTTGACGACCGCCTGCTGCTTGTGGGGCACGTTGCGGTCCGCAAAGCCGTGCATGAAGCTGGACAGTTCCATCTCAGTAGCACCACCACCCGCGACAATGGTCGTGTGGCGGAGAGCGCGCTTGACAATCATGATGGCATCGTGCAGACTGCGCTCGACCTCGGCAATGAACTGCTCCGCTCCACCACGCAGCACAAGGGTGCAGGTCTTGGCCTTGGGGCACTCGGAGAAGAGGTTGTAACGCTCACCACCAATCTGGCGCTCCTCGAAAACACCGCAGGTACCCAAGTGGCGTTCCTGGATGTCGCTGCAGGTCGATTGAGTAGCCGCTCCGGTCGCCTGGCAGACCCGATCCATATCATCGGCCGCAACGCGACCAGCACAGAAGATGTCACGATCCGCAAAGTATCTGTAAACGAAGAGAGCAAGCGTAAGCATGTAGACCAGTTGCCAGGAAGTTGTGCGGGATAACCTACTGCGTAGCCAAGTCACCAATGGGGAGCTTGCTGAGAACAACCTTGGCTCCGGTCTTGTAGATAGCCTCAAGCTTGTTGTAGATGATCTGCCACTCGGCATCGACGATGGCCTGGTACTCCGACACATGCTCGACGCGCACCTCAGCGTTGTCCTTCTCGCTCTTCAATTCCAGCTCGACGTTCAGACAAACAATCTTCGGGTCCTTGAAGTACTTGGGCTGTTGCTCGAAACCGGCGTACGAGAAGGTCTTCTTGAAGGCGACACCGTTGACGAAGAGGGATTCCTGAAGACCACCACCAGTAACACGCTTCACACCGATCAGCTTCTCGTTAAGGTCGTCTTGGTCGAGCGACAGCACGGCGTCCACCACCACTAAGGTATTTAGTCAGCATCTCAACATCCATGGATAGGGGGGTAACCCCTTACTCTTGGTGAAGAAGTCCGAGTTCCGCTTGATCAGCTTGCTGTTCATCGCCGTTCCGGCCAGACGTCGGAGCGTCTCAACCTTCTTCTCCTCGCTTCCCGCAGACTCGATCACGTCCACGGCGATCTCCTTGATCTTGTTGACGGCCATCGCACTTCCCCTCCGTAGACCCTTAACGATCGTCTGTGAACTGACACCCTGCTCGACAAGTTCGCGAACTTCCTTCAGAATCTCACCGGCGAGGACGACGACCGACGTTGTTCCGTCGCCCACCTCAGCATCTTGAGAGCGGGCAATGTCCGTGAGAATGCGGGCGGCGGGGTGAACGATATCGAGAAGCTAAAATGGAAAGACAAGAACAAGTAAGCCCACGGAATGAAATAAAATAGAAAGGATAAAGCCTAGAGTTCTCCAAAAGGAAGATGTTAGAGTGTGTTTCTAGACGCACCTTCATTACGGTAGCTCCATCGTTGGTGATGGTCTGTCTACCGTTGCCGTCCACCATCAACAGGTCCCCTCCATAAGGACCGAGAGTGCTCTTGATCGTGGATTGCACGGCAACACAGGCATTGATGTTGGAGATGATCTGGCCCTTGCCCTGGGAGGTATCGGTGCCTGAAGCAAAAGAGAACAATCAACAGAGTCAGCAAAATCTCGCAGCGATGACACACAGATGCCAATGCAAATGCGGGCGGGTTGACGGACCCTCCTTGAGCACGATAATCGTGGGTGCTTGGCCAGCGAAGGCCATTTTGATGAGATTATTTCAGGGAAAGACGGCGGAGGAGAGTGAGGTTTGTGAGCCAACGGACAAGGGGCAACAGAAAGATGAGATCGTGGCCCTGAATGTCCCAGCTGGTCGGGGGTTCGATATCGCTGCTCGACCAAAATTTCCCCGAGCTTCTTTGGGATCGAAACTCTCCAGTGCTGGAGGCGGTGACCAATCATGCCGCGCCCCGCAGCCCTATTTGCTGCGTTTTCCCCTCAAAAGCACTTTCTTGACATTTAGAAAGTCGTATAGTGAGCTTATACAGGATCTACTTTTCTTAGCATATAAGTTGTATTGCCTTATATTCTTATTCCATGGCTGTATATGGTTGACTTTACATCATCTGTGGTCACTTCGTCCACCACATCCCTGAACCGTTCCTGTTGTCTAATCATATGAACCCCACCAGATTCCAGTATAACTCGAATAGTGCTGGATAAGTATAACCTTCTTGTGCAAATGGTGGAGGGTAGTCCGGTATATCACTCTTCACTCGAGGTAGGAGCTCTATAGGCTTCCTTTAATGTACTAATACTACTATGATCATAATCATCATGACTTCCTGGTAGCCGCTCAGATATCCTTGTGATATATATACTATGTAGAGTGGTAAGGCTCAACTCTGGGGCATCATAGAGTAGTACTAATTCTCTGCAGTGGCATCACCACGAGCTCCTGCGTACTATTTCGCTACCAAGATCCTAAATTGATCAACCATACGATATTGAAATAGAGTAATGTGTGAGATAACCCGTGATTGCCATTGGCCATTCTCTCATAAACCCCTTCGAACCTCGAGTAGTAAGCATTACGTCTACCGTACACCTAACTAAAACACTCACCAGCTCGCTTACGAGTATCTCACACCATGAAATTATTATCTTGAGAACAGTGTGTATGTAGGGTGTCGTAACTGCTAGACTGATCATATTGAGTGGCAATGGACGTAGTTTTTGCCGTCTCCCTACCCCATGTTCAAAGGTTACAGGGGTGGTGCGCCTTTAGCGCAGTACCCCCCCTCAATAACATATAACCATCAAAAGAAGCCAATTTTTGGGCAGGCGTGAAATAAATTCCTGCCATGCGTTTCAATTCAAGTTATAGTAAGAAGTGGGAGAGATATATTGTAGACGTCCCGAGCACAGAGAAGTAATGCATAACCGAGATTACCCAGGCTGGCTCAGCTGGAGCGGCCACAGCTGAAGTCGATCAACTAGACCATAAATCGGGAATAACCTGTCGATCGTTCCAATTATTCAAGCCAATAATATACACAGTATTCAGCGTGCCTTGAGAAGCGGCGCAAAGTGATCAATAGCTGCGACCGCTAAACAGGGGAGGGAGTGGAACTGGCACAGGTTTTGGTGGAAAGTGGAGTACCTATTGATAAGACTTGGAAAGGGAGAAACATGGATATTTGACAGGTTTTAGCCCAAACTGCTGCTGATTGTTGCCAGTATCATTATGTTCAAGTGCTCGTTGCGTAAGAGATCGATATAATGCATGCGACATAAAACGCTCATCTGCGCGACATAGGCAGGCATCTTTGTTCTAGGCCCCAAAATGTAGATGCCTTGATACTGATCGTACCTGTAAATCGGAATGTAAATAGTCCAAGTCGAAATCGACGTAAGTGTATCTGTCTGGGGACTTCGGGCTTCCCATAAGAAGCTTTCAAACACACTGGGGAGTAATGCCGCTGGAGGATCACTGCGCGAGCATCATCCATATGTATAGCCATGGATATGATCCCTAGCTCAAGGTTCGCGATCACTACCGATACATCTAATTGATTTCTGATTGAATTTGTCGTTTTTTAGAGTCTCCTTTGACCCGAGTCAACTGATGCGTTCCTTTCCCACCGGGCTTTCAGATAGGCAACTTGAATTTGTCAAGAGACCTTCTTAGGCTTAGTTAGTATTTAAGAGGTCTGATTGCGTTTCAGTCAGCGTTAAATGAAAAATCAAGTTTTCACAATGTCCGAACTATCAATTGACTGGTGAAATGCATAAAATGGACTCCTTAAAAGTGGTGCTTTCCGTACAACCGTTACTGTCGCATGGTTGAGTGACAAATCAGCATAGTTTCCCAAAGGACAGATCACGCGCTGTTTATTGACGTATGTCAAGGGAGAGATTCGAAGTCGAATAAGTTCTTAATGTAGGTGATCCTTCGCATAATTGCCCTTCTGGTGCCAGGGTCAATCAGGCAACTTCGGTCTAGGAGAACTCATGAAGTCCTAGACGAAGACGGGGCATATGAAAAAGAAAGGTCAAACTCCTCCCAATAACTACAGCCAATGTGTATAACTTGTAGGTCGTAAGCAGATCTGCCGCGGCTAAAGTTTGCAATGTTACACAGCCAGCTCATGCGTTCTTGACATCTCCACACGGTCTTGAGGACAGTCTGACAGGCAACTATAGATGCCTTGACATATAATTGCCTGATCCTATGAGACTGCACCAGTGGCTTGTTGTATTTGGCATCGAGTTTCCTTTTCAAGAGAATAACATATGCCCATTTCAGTTGCCTGAGTGCCGATAGTAGCATGGCTAAGATAGTGATAGGATGTCTAGAGGCAGGCGCTTGTGGCGCAACCGGGGCTCTCGGCTGCTAGGATCTCCAAGATGAACTTGCGAATCATCGAAGATAACTGTTGCAGTGTATGAGTCAAATCCAAGACATCATACTGCAGTGGAATAATCAATACTGGAGTTACGTTTTAGAGGAATGTAGATCATGCTGGTCAGGTGATTCAGAGACGCCACCCACGTCTTTAGGCATCTCGCCTCTCTGCATCTTCGTATTTCAAGCCATTAGCCCAGTGACCGCCGACTTCATCACATTAAAGCCTGGGTATCGTCGGCTTTACTTATGGTTTGAACATCCCTTCCGAGCTGCAAATTTCATAATTCAGCTTTCTTGTTTATACATAGTCCCTCTCTGTAGTTCTCCTACCCTCACGAAATCATGTCCACTGCAGACTTACCCCAGTATTATCCAAACAATTTGATACCGCTAGACATAAATAAGGAGACCCTCAAAAGCGCACTCAAGGAGCTGCAAGTTGCAGTGAACCGTGGTGCAACATTGCTACAGGAGGCCTGCCCTCCTCAGAGCGAATGGGGAAAACCCTACAACACGGGTTTATACGTGGGATTTCCAGGTATGCGTATAGCTTTCACTCTATGAATCGGTTGAGTGATACGCTACATCACGCACTTTGGCAAGTCTAATCTGATCACCTTTCCCCTCACAGGGATTGCTCTTGCTTTCCTCCGACTGGACCATCAGGTTAAAGCGTTCAGCAACAAGGAAGTCGGGCTTCCTCTTGACTTCCGCAGGCTTGCAAGCGAGCAAATTATACCACATGGACCGGATATTCCACTTTTGCCTGAAAGAGTAGCGCCTTTTGGCTCCCCTAGTGTGCTTGTGGGACCCTTGATGCGGATTCTCGCAGCCGCCCAATCTGGTGCATCCATGTCTGAAGCTGATATTGAATGTCTCAGAAGTGTCGTACAAGTGGCCATCGGAAATGACTACATGCTACCGCATGGGGATGGGATGATGGGTACGGACGAAGTCTTGTATGGCCGAGCGGGTCTATTGTGGGCTGTATTAAGCGTGCGAGCTCACAAGTATGACGAGGGGGCCACAGGCCTTCTGACGTCCATCTTTGAGTCTGTTCCGGATCTTGTTGATGCGATCATCAAAGGTGGGCTCCAAGGCAGAGACGACTATGTAGAGGAGTATGGGGAGAGGGGTGCTTTGCCGTTGATGTGGCACTGGCATGAAGATCGGTATGGATTAGGAGCGTAAGTAATGCCCCCACCATCAGTATGTATGTTGAGCAACAGAACGGCAATCCTGACATATCTGACTAGGGTACATGGAATGTGTAAGTTACGCTTGTGTAAGAAGATTCACATGATATATGCCGCTGACAAGCTTTTGTAGCCGGCATACTCGCGGCCCTCCTTGCCTGCGATCCTGAAGAGCTCAACGATGGCGCTTCGCGTAACTATTTGCCCCTGATAGCGGAGACCATCACAGGCCTTTGCAAGATATGCATTGCCCATAACGGTCACCTCCCAACAAACCTTCCCAATCGTGGCCCTTCATCCAAGCGCACCTCACCTCTCGTCCAGATTTGTCATGGTAGTCCCGGCATCTTAACCCTGATGGCGAGCGCCAGACGGAACAAGCCCCTGATCACCGGCTTCTGGCAGCCAGAATGGGATGTAGCAATTCGCCTGGCAAGCGAACGGGTCTGGGAGGAAGGACTACTTTCTAAAGGTGGCGGAATCTGTCATGGCATTACAGGTAATGCATGGCCACTGCTGCTTCTTCACGACAGCTTCGAGTATGATAAGGAAGAGATGCAAGCTGCTAGGGAAAGATATATGGAGAGGGAACAGATCACTAGCGCAACAGTATTGGATACCGGGCTCACAGGTGACTACTTCCTGTCGAGAGCGCTGGCGCTGATGTTGCATGCGCGGGAGACGCCTCCGTATCATAGCTCCGACACGCCAACGTCCAACATCTATCGACTGCCCGATCGCCCGTTTTCCCTCACGGAGGGCCTGGCAGGCATTGTCTGCGCGTGGTCGGACACATGTGTGTCTGTCCAGATGAGACTGCAAAGTATGCTTCTGCGGGAGAAGTGGCCGCATAGTTCTGCATCTCTGAAGACGGACCCAACATTCCAAGAACTTGAAAGTCTGCGATTGGGAATCCCAACGCTTGCCTATCACAGGGCTGCGGCTTTGCCCTGAGATGGAAATATGAGAAGCTTATTTATTGGTTCAACTCATGAAGGAAACTGTAACGACAGCAATGTATGCATGGAAACTTCTGCATGTAAATCGCTCAAGCATAAGGATATCTCGCTTCAAATATTCAGAATAGGAAAACATGATGCAATGCGACTCCAAACTCCACGCTCATGGCTGAACTCCAGTCGCTGATAAACGAAAGTAATATCGTAAAACGATCAAAACCCATTTCATGTCTTACACGGTTTAGAAGAGCGTGAATCCCGTGCGATACATGGGTGGTTGACCCGGAAACTCAGTCCTATACTCCACACGCTTAGGCAAGTAATTCCCATTTGGAGCTTCCACAGCAACTCTCCATCTCCGCCAGCAGTTTGAAAGTTGGTGATTTCTATCTCCACAGAAGGTACAGCGCATCTGCACCGGTCGTTGAACAGGTCCGCCCTGCATTGGTTGACTGTAACTTCGATTCCTCGTAGCCTGCTCCCGTTCTCGACGCATCTGTTCGACCACGTAATCGTTGATTTCCTCCTGACTGGGCCGCTTAGCATGTCTCCGGACAATTCCACTGCGACTACGGAGCGCCTCATCCTTGTTCATCTGTTTGACAACGAATGCGTTGATCTCATCCTGAGTGAGAGCACGAGGATCTTCCGGCATCTCCGACGACGATGCAATTCCCCTCTTGGCAGCACCATGATCATCACTCCATGCACTCCTTCCCCGCCGCTGACGGGCTTTCTCTTGCTCCATGGCCAATTGGGCCAGCTCTTGAAAGGTCACCTGCTCCGCAGGATTGGAGGAACACATCCGACCGTCTCGCAGCATGGCAGATGCCCAGTCACTCCAATCAGGGCATTCCTTGAGCTTTGTCAGAAAGAGCATATTGATCTGCGGATCGGGTATATAGGAATCTTCGTCGATTTGCGTAAGCCCTTCGCGGATTGCCTGGATGAGAGCGACGAAATCGGCGATCATGTCGGACTTTTGAGGGTCGAGGTCAAGGACCTCGCTGACTTGGTGTATCCTGCGTATGTTTCGCTGCCATGGCTCCATCTTGGCCTATGAAGCAAAAGGTTTGAGAAGATGAAGTTGGCAAGAGGAAGGCCTGTACGTACCAGTTTAAGCGCCGTGAGCCAGTGGTTTTATTTGTCGGCGATGGTTTGCTGACCGAGCGGGGGATGACGTCAGAAAGAGGGCCGTACTTCTTGCTGTATCCATACGATAACAGTATCTATTCCTATCGTTGCTGCTGTTCTCTCAGTCTTCTCCGGCTTTTTGCTCTTCTTTATGGTTGAGGTACTACATTTCATATTTCACAGTAGGAATTCATTATCTACTGCAAATTAGAGTATGGGGTTCTTTGGCTCTATGGATCCTTCGGGCCTTCCCTCGCCCCATCGTGAACCGTGGCAGTGCCCGACGCCCATCAGCAAGTCAGCAGCAGCTCTTTGGGGGCCGCTTTCTCTTAGCTTCATTTGCTTAGCGGCGTGTGACAATCAGTCCAGATAAACGTCCAACCCATTCTTTCTCTCAATACACTGCAACAGGCTGTCCTTGCACATACGGCTAGCCTGATCTAGGACAAGGCTTAAAGGCCCCCATCACCCGGGTGGAGAGAAGTCGCATCACGTACAACTGTGACAATGGATACTGTGCCACCATCCTACCAAACAGCTACCACCAGAGACGCTTGGTCGATTATAGCGCACTACATCCCTTCAAGCGACTTATGTGCAGCTGTCTTGGTATGTCGGAAATGGCATGGTCTCTTTATGCCCTTTCTGTGGGGAGATCCCGCTTCCCACTTTGGAACGGATAACGATGCGGTTTATGGTAGGCCTGAACGATCCCACGACTGCTTGATTTGATCGTTTGGTGCTGACAAGATGCACTAGTCGCTCTTACAAGGTTCAGGAGGACACTAAAATATGCCCGTCTTAAGGTGCGGATGCTCACCCATACGCTGCACCTGCCGCCTGCTCTCTCGGAGATTTATGGTGGTCCACGACCCGAATGGTTAAAGGAGATCCTGGATGCTCTACCGTGCCTCCAGTCGTTGATGGTCTCGAAGCTCCCCTTTTTTGACCACAATGCTATGACTGCCTTGAGCAGATCTAGCCCATTTGGAGAAAATGACACAGCTTCCCAGACTTACAATGTCCGTCTGCTATTGGCGGATAGTGAGCCAAATGCGACATCGCACGGTATTGCGGAGACCTTACTACGCTTCCCTGAATTGATCTATCTCGATTTATCCTATACCACCCCTGCGCGGGACCGCATGGTTCTGTCGTCGCTATCGCAGTTGGAAAATCTCCAGGTGCTCAAGCTTCGAGGGATCGGTTTGAAGGACAATGATGCAGAATTTTTGGCCAATGCCATCGGACGCAGAGTTCGATTCCTGGATCTGCGCAACAATCTACTTACTGATATGTCCATACGGTCTTTATTGCAAGCATGTTTCCTACCCCCTGGCGCTGAGGATAGATTACAACGAGCGACATTAGCGTCACTAGGATCCCTTGCACACTCTCCGCAATCGAGACCACTGCTGGCTGACAGAAGACTTCTCAGGACCCCGCTTCTAGATGAACAAATCCTGAAAGCTTTGACACAATCGTTGACTGGCCGCTCCTGGGTTGAGGACTTATCCCATGCAGGTATAACGCACCTCTATATCGCCGAGAATCCCATTTCTGTAGAAGGGGCCGCAAGTCTTTTGTTCTCCTCTCGCCTGCACGCGCTAGATGTGGGAACCGTTGATACTATAGAGTCTATCGGACGAAGCCAGAACTCCCTGGCTTCGCCCCAAGAGGACACCCACAAGCTTCCTGGTGCCGAAAAACTAATTCCAATTCTGGGTTCTGTTGCCAAGGGAAATCTTACCTATCTTCGAGCTCACCATGCCGTCTGTACAGTTGATGCACCGTCAAGGGAGACCTCAACGGCGGACATGTTGCTGCCAGAGCTCCCAGCTGAAACTGAGAGTGAAGTGCGTCTAGTGGCAGAGTTAGGTACGAACCATGAGATTTATGAACTACCCTCAAATGAAGCACCTGTTTTCGAGCTTCCTGGCTCACCAGTCCCACAATCTCCGGACTGGCCTACGCAGCCCGCCGAGAGGGGTCGAAAGCCAATTGTTTATGAAGACGAGCCACTACCTGACCTGCGACGAGGCTCTGTTTTCGCTCCTGAGGTGATCGGGGCAGACCAAGTCAGTGATGAAGAGCCTTCGAGCAGTACCTCTGCCGCGAGGCCTTCAACTCGCCTGCCCCATGACATCTCCTTCTCTAGCATTTCCAGTATCTCGGTGGGTGCAGCGGGGTCTATCCCGCAATGTTCTTCGCCTCTTTCAGTCGAAGATCCTCGGGCCCAGAAAATTCAGGAATTGCTTGCTAAGAGGCCAAAAAGTCTTCCTCGTCGTGATAACAAAAGATGCTATTTCCCGTACTTGCATCCTTCCCATGTCCCTCACCTTGAAACATTGGTTTTGACCGACGTTCCATCTCACGTACAGGCGAACTCGCCAATCTTGGAATCGCTGATTCGATTCATAACTGCATGCTCAAATGAAGCGTTGCTTGCAACGCTCCAAGCGGGATCGGATTATTCACTCGCACCTGGAAGAGCTCGGGCCAGATCTGAACAAGAACGTGCCAGGTCTTTATTTGGTCTACGTCGCTTGGTGCTTGAGATCACGCCCTCTGTTGAATCCAACAGATTATCTAGATGGACGCCAGCCAGTCACCGAATAGGAGCTTCTAAATCAAGTACCGGTGATCGCGATTCGGAGAAGCTATGGTCAGCAGCAGAAGGCGACTTTAGTTTCTTTGGAGGAGAGGAATGCGGAGTGCCCGATGTTTATTCAGGGAAATATTTCCCTATGGCAGCCTTGAACGAGAAGGTGACGTTGATCCCAGAAGATGACGATGTCAACCCTTTACAGTCAGACATGGCTTCTTCACCAAACATGCTTCATCCGGATCCTTTGCGCTCGCGGTCAAACTCAGTCGATCCCGCGACTACGCCTCTGAACATGCGCTCGCACAGCCCACTCCAGGGTGAGGGTAGAGACATGGGGCCGCACAATGAAGTACCAGACGTTGACCTGGTCGCCGAATTGGCAGCATTCCGACGTAGTAAAAAGGCAGAATACGAGGATATGCTGAGAAGAGACCGGAGAAGGCGTGGTACTACCAGCACCCTGTCATCTCGCTTCTCTCCTTCCGTCTCCTCATTCCAAACGATTTCTCCGTCATCGAGTATAAATACGTTGGCGGCGGCATCAGCGCCTCATTCACCCATTGCTCACTATCTTGAAGGGCACTGGAAGGGGGAAGTGAAGATTGTCCGAAACCCAGCGCCAAAGGGCCGAAGCGGGGTAGTGGATATGTATGGGAATTATTTTGAGAAGGGCTATCTGTACCCTTGACGGAGGGTATTCATTATATTGTAAAGCATATATGCTGTTCGTGACATTAGCTAGTTGATATAGATTGCGAACATGATACCCAGTATATACTACACTACTTGATATCATATTACGTCGCACTACTTACTAGGTGAACACTACTAAGGGCTGAAGCAGTATGAACTTGCCCGAAATTCTGATAACAGATCAATAATGTACATCAATATCCGATTACCAGCTCGACACCAACCCTCCATACAGTATCCATCGGATGAATGTCACTCTTGATACTTTACTTAACCAAGATAAGTTGCTTAGAAAATTTCGTTTGTTCGTTTTAAAAATTGGTATAGAATTTCATCTTTCACACACGACTCCGCGCATATTCATTTCAACCCCGAAACTGAAACCCGTTCATTTCCATTTAAGAATTCCGCATAAAGTAGTAAAGAAGTTCTGGTTTTTTTTCAGACAACATAAAGAAAAATAATAAGAAGCACCAGTTAAGGCCCCTAAACTAATTCCATTTTTCTTTTATCTCTTTTGAAATCGTTGTCATTCCTTCCTTACATAGCCTTGGCGGCCTGAGGGGGGTTCAGCTTCTTGCCATCCTTGTTGTACCTGATACGAGGAGGGGGAGCACGGTTGCGACGACCTTCCCGGGAGCGGACACTATAGGATAATCATTAGCTTGTGTTTGTTCTCGAAATCGATGATGATTCGACGCATTCATCGTTGTTGAGTGGGTGGTGGCGTACCGAACAATCTTGCCGTGGATAGCGCAGGAGACGCAGTACTGCAGCTTCAGGTACATCTTGGGGACGGCGTAGTCGGTGAAGACGGAGGCGTCCGAGATATCACCTGGAGAGTTGGAAAAAGAACCAGTCAGTCCGATGTTGTCTTTCAGGATGGGTCGAATTCCGTTCACTCGTGCGTCGCGCTGTTGTATCTATTCCTCTTTCTTCTTATCCGATGTCGTATTCCGGTCGAGTTCATTTCGCTTCGAATTGTTGCATACACACGCATACGCACACGCATACATAAAACACCCCACTTCCCAGCTCTTTCAGAATGAACAAACAGCGCGCGCGGACGGTTTCGGGAAGAACTCAGATCAATGGAGCAAGATCGTGGAACGTACGGATGGCAGCGGACTCGACCATGTTGCGGATGGTGAATCTCTTGATGGCCTTGTCCTTGGGAGTGCAGCGAGCGCAGTTGGAGCAGCGCACGGGCTTGACGTGGCCGCGGCCGTTCTTGTTACGACCGCTGTGAAATAGGTTAGTTTATCGGTCTCTTCTTTAAATTTGCGAATTTTCCATGTTTTCGATTTGAACATCGCCATTTCTTCAATTTTCTTCTGTTTTTTCCCCAAAATCACACACAACACTGTACGGTAGCCGGGCCATTCTGCGGCAAATGTATGGCGAATATTTTTCCGTGCGGCCGTCTTCATTCAGGTGTGCGTAGATTGTGTATATGTATACATGGCATGTGGCATGGCATGGATGGGTGGGATAGGAAAGGGTTCGGTCTTACTTGTTCGCCCTCTTCTTGACCATCTTGACGGATTTCTCTGCAGCAACGGGTCAGAGAATGTAAGTCAGGGAGAAGGGGAAGGGAGGTTGTCGCGTACTTGGCTGTCGGGTTTGGTTGTCGTAAAGGCTCCGGAGTCGTCTCTTCGGGATGAGGTTGTGTCGGGTTTGTGTGGTAGCCCTATGCCCTTAAGCGAGCTGGGTCACGGGATGAGTGGCCTCAGGCGGTTAATGGGAGATGTTGACACCTGAGGCATAAGCGGAGGGGGGTGACATCGGGAGAGTGGCGGAGGGTGGCCTGACCGCCCCTGCCTCAGGCAATCGGCGAGAAACTTTGAAAAAGTTGGGTGATCCGACTGAGTTCACGTGCCGTGTCCCGAAGCAGCCTAGCGCGCAAGGCCCTTCCCGACCCAAAGTTACGGTACACCAATACGGTATTCTGTTTACTCAGGCCGAGTATTGTGAGTGGTCCCCGTGCCATCCCTCTTTCTCCCTGAAACTGTCATTAACAGCAAATAGTTCGGCCAGCCGAATCCACTTGGGATCTGCTTCTTCCTTTTCCCCCCCCTGGGTTTGGCTTGGTGGCTGTTGGCTTGTCTGCCGTATCTTTCTCGTCCCTCCAGATCATCGCGTTGTGTCTCGCTCTCCCTCTTTTTACTCTTCCTTCTTCTTCCTCTTCAGTCTGTCTTCCTTGCGTGACTTGTCTCTGGTTCATTCCCACTCCTCAATCCTCGTTCGTCCTTTCACGGGGGGTTGTGTCTCCATTCCACCGCTCCGCTGCATTCTCCGCTCTCTCTTGACCGGTTCGTGAGACACAGACCTGCCAGCCTACCACAGGTCCGCCATTCTGGTTCGGCGCCATGTCATCCACACCCACTTTTAAGGGAACCATTAGCCACAAGACTGTCGGTAGAGGCAGGCTGCCCGACTTTGACAGTCACATTCCACGTCCTCGCCCAGAGACTTCCTCTACAACTCATACCCCCCAGACCGCGTCCAGCGACATTGGCAGTTCCACCATGAGTGCCGCCAGCAGCCGTCAGAGGCAAAACCAGTCCAAGCGCGATGAGGTATGGCACGCTTTTCCCCCTTTGGATTGTTTGCAACAACCCCGGAAGAAAAGGAGGCGAACCCTGAAAAATCTTGCCATGCAAGCTGTTTCTCGTTTTTTGAAAATTTGATTGCTCAATGCCTCCCATTGACTTTTTCTAACTCTCATGGACTTAGGCCATCCGGCGAAAATTGGAGGCCGACCTCAACAAGAAGAGACATGCTCCGGCACGAGCAAACCGCTCCCGCAAAGCTCCCCCCGGCACCGTCCTCGCATTGAAACCTAGTCAAGCCCTTCAGATCAAGCCGAACACCTCCATCGCCGAAGCCGCCCAGTTGATGGCCGCGAAGAGAGAAGACTGCGTGCTTGTAACTGACGATGATGACCGGATTGCTGGTATCTTCACCGCTAAGGACCTCGCGTTCCGCGTGGTCGGCACTGGCCTGAAGGCGCGAGAAATCACCGTGTCTGAGATTATGACCAAGAACCCTCTGTGCGCGAGAACGGATACCAGTGCCACCGATGCTCTCGACCTCATGGTTCGGAAAGGATTCAGACACTTGCCGGTTATGGACGAGAACCAGGATATTTCGGGTGTTCTTGATATTACGAAGTGCTTCTACGATGCGATGGAGAAGTTGGAACGTGCATACAGTTCGTCGCGCAAGCTCTACGATGCATTGGAGGGTGTGCAGACGGAACTCGGCTCCAGTCAGCCCCAGCAGATCATCCAGTACGTGGAAGCGCTACGACACAAGATGTCCGGCCCTACGCTGGAGACCGTCTTGGACGGTATGCCCCCGACCACGGTCTCCGTCCGCACCACTGTCAAAGATGCGGCAGCTCTGATGAGGGAACACCACACCACTGCTTTGCTCGTACAGGATCAGGGCTCCATCACGGGTATCTTCACCAGCAAGGACATTGTTCTGCGTGTCATTGCTCCCGGTCTTGACCCGTCTACCTGCAGCGTCGTCCGTGTGATGACCCCTCACCCCGATTTCGCCCCCAGCGACATGAGTATCCAGGCTGCGCTCCGGAAGATGCACGGTCAGTCACTCGGTCAACCCCTGCAGCGCTCGAGAGGAAACTAACACTGGAGATATATAGATGGACATTACCTCAACCTGCCCGTCATGAACGATGCGGGCGAGATTGTGGGAATGGTGGATGTGCTGAAGCTTACGTACGCCACCTTAGAACAGGTTAGTAACAGCATATCAATAGGATAGGGCCATTCGTCTAACAGGCAAGCAGATCAACACCATGCAGTCACATGATGATGAGGGCCCGGCCTGGAACAAGTTTTGGCTGTCGATGGATCACGAGTCCGATTCCATGGTCTCGGGAAGCCAGCAGCCCGCGCAGCGGTCAGTACTCAGCCCTGAGTCTCCGAAGGCTAGTTATGACGCCCGAGACAGCGTTCTCCCCAACGAATCTGCTTCTCACCATGGCGGTGACGAGCACTCTGAATACCACGTGGACCCGCACCACGGAGAGCACATCCCCTTCCCGTTCAAGTTCAAGGCTCCTAGCGGCCGTGTGCACCGTGTTAACGTGTTCCCCTCTGCTGGCATTGCTGAGCTGGTTGCTCAGGTGTCGGCCAAGCTGGGCCCCGAGGCGGAGGCCGTGGGAGGCGTTCCCAGCTGCGACGAGGGCAAGTTGAGCAACACGGGCTACGCTCTGAGCTACCTGGACAACGAGGGCGACACCGTGTCGATCACCACCGACCAAGATCTGGCAGATGCTGTCAGCCTTGCCCGTCAATCGCACCGTGATAAGGTCGATCTCTTCGTCCACGATCCTACGCAGCCTCCTATTCCTGCTACCGTTGAACCCCAGCCGGCACCAGCCCGCCCCGTCGAGGAGAAGAGTGCCATTTCCGAAGACCGGTCGGAAGAAGAGTCCCTGGTGGCCAAGCCCCGGGCTCCGTCCTTCCCCGTACACCAGCCCGAAGAGCAGTTCATCGCCGGAGTGCCCAACGACCTGCTGCTTCCGGGTGCCATTGTGACCTTGGCGGCCGTCATTGCGGGAGTGTTCATTCTGAGCCGGGCCACTTCCCGGTAAAGAAATGTGTGCATCTACCTGGCCGTGATGAAAGAAAGCAAGTACCCTTGTATCTATTTCCTTTTCGACGTCTCCTTTCGCGTGTCATATATCTGTAACCCCAAGAGCGTTTCGTTTGTGTGACTAGTTTCCATTATGCATTGGTCAATCTCCTTCCCTACATGTGGTGGTGGCCCAGTCCTAATTGAGCCTGTTTTATTCTGTTTCGGATACCGTTGAGTTCGTGAGAGCGTAAGGTTACATACAAATAGCATGTTCTGCTCCCATTCGGGAAGCGTATTAGACCACCCACCAGTACAGGACCATCGTCATGGTCAATATCATGAGAGACGAGATAGCATTTTTAGATGATAAACATAATAGTCTCCGGTATAGCCAAGGGACGTTCCTGGATGATTTACCGAATCCTGCAAGAGGGGTTGACGGCCTGGCTGCCTGAAGGGCTTGCCGGAAAGAGACTAGCGCAGCGGCCTTGGGGGAAATTTTTGGGATCTTGGGAAATTCTGATTGGGGCGTCGAGAGCAGAAAGCCGTGAATATTACTTACAACCTAGTCTATTCTTGCAGTCACTTTTGACCTCTTCCCTCCTTCACCATCAAACATCCAGGCTCTCTTTCTCTCACTATCTTCTAAGCCTCGCGCTATTCACGGGCCCTCTTCTTCCTCTGCGCCCCCCCCCCCCCCCCCCCTCCCCTCCTGTTCACCCGCAGCTCTCTGTCCGGCTGCGATGCTGAGCTGGGAGTTAACCCGCGTTGGTACATATTATTGATTGATCGATCTTCACTCTACTCTACTTTTTTTTCTTCCCTTTTTATTTTTTTTCCTGGCCGGGTTGCCCGTTGATTGATTGACCTGTCTGGTTGCTTGGTGCCCATACCGCCCTCCCTCTTCCCCCTCGACTGGTCAACTTATTTCTTCCCCCACCAAAACAATTTCTCCTCCAAAGGGCCAAAAAAAAGTCCCTTTCAAGTCAAACCACCACCCCCACCTCCACCACCTGGGTTCACCGCTGGACCCCGTGTCTCCTAATTTCCCGCGCTCTTGGTGGTTTTCAGCTCGGGTTGATTGTTCACACTTGAGCTGTCAAAATGTCGCTACTCCCCCCCGAGGTCCACTCGGCGCTCTCGCAGCTCCTGCGCGCGCTGTCCACCCCCGACAACACCATTCGTGCTCAGGCGGAGGAACAGCTGAACAATGATTGGATTCAAGGCCGTCCCGATGTCCTGCTGATGGGCCTGGCAGAGCAGATCCAGGGTGCGGAGGATGTGCTAGTAAGTGCCCTGCTTGGCTTTCCCTCGGTGGGCCCTTGGAGGACGTTGGTCCAAGACGTTCGAGTCAAAGATCAGCACCCCAGACCATAACAAGCGTTATCTTTTATCCCTCCGGACTAGTGGCAGATCAAGGAATCAAAAAACAAAGTTGGTTCGCGTTCAGGTTGCTCATTGTTGCATCTCACCCAGACACGTTCTTTCTCCGCCGTTCTCTTCAGAAGAATCGCGACCAAGACACGAAAAGACCCCGTCACAAATGAGGCCAAGGAGCTCTTTTCGACCCTCACTGGCGAGCAGAGGTTGATCATCCGTCAGAAGCTCGTGACTTGCTTGACCAGCGAGTCCGTCACAGATACCCGCAAGAAGATCGGCGACGCCGTGGCCGAGATTGCCAGACAGTACACCGATAATGGTAGGCACCGTGAAGGACCTTGATGCGTGCTGGATCTTTTCCAATCTGATATATGTGGCTTAGGCGACCAATGGCCCGAACTGCTCGGCGTTCTCTTCCAGGCCAGCCAGTCCCCCGACTCCGGCCTGCGTGAGGCCGCTTTCCGCATCTTCAACACTACTCCCGGTATCATCGAGAAGCCCCACGAGGAGGCCGTTGTCGGTGTATTCAGCAAGGGTTTCAAGGATGACGTCGTCTCAGTATGTCAACGCAGCCATCCCCCGGGCTTGAGGCCCCCAGCCGTATGCTGATTGCCGTGTGTACAGGTGCGCATTGCCGCCATGGAGGCCTTCGCTTCGTTCTTCCGCTCGATCGCCAAGAAGTCCCAGCCCAAGTTCTTCTCCCTCATGCCCGATCTGCTCAACATTTTGCCTCCGTTGAAGGAGTCGTCGGAGAGCGAGGAGCTCTCCTCCGCCTTCTTGTCTCTGATCGAGTTGGCCGAGATCTGCCCCAAGATGTTCAAGACCATGTTCAACAACCTGGTTACGTTCAGTATCAGCGTGATTGCCGACAAGGACCTCAGTGACCAGGTCCGCCAGAACGCTCTCGAGTTGATGGCTACGTTCGCCGACTATGCGCCCTCGATGTGCAAGAAGAACTCCGAGTTCGCTCAGCAGATGGTGACCCAGTGTCTGAGCTTGATGACGGATATTGGTGTTGATGATGAAGATGCTTCTGAGTGGAATGCTTCGGAGGATGTACGTTCCGCTCTATAATCTTGCAGGGTTATTGTTGTGCTGACGTGTTACAGCTCGACTTGGAAGAAAGCGATCTCAACCACGTTGCGGGTGAACAGTGCATGGACCGTCTGGCCAACAAGCTTGGCGGCCAGATCATCCTCCCCGCGACCTTTGCCTGGATCCCTCGCATGATGTCCTCTTCTGCCTGGCGCGATCGCCATGCGGCTCTCATGGCCATCTCCGCCATCTCGGAAGGCTGCCGCGACCTGATGGTCGGCGAATTGGACCAGGTGTTGCGACTGGTCGTTCCCGCTCTTCAGGACCCCCACCCGCGCGTGCGCTATGCGGGCTGCAACGCTCTGGGCCAGATGAGCACCGATTTCGCCGGTACCATGCAGGAGAAGTACCACGCCGTGGTACTGACCAACATTATCCCCGTGCTGAACAGCACCGAGCCCCGTGTCCAGGCGCACGCGGCCGCGGCCCTGGTCAACTTCTGCGAGGAGGCCGAGAGGAAGGTGCTGGAACCGTACCTTGCTGATCTTCTGCAGCACCTGCTGCTGTTGCTGCGCAGCAGCAAGCGCTACGTGCAGGAGCAGGCCCTTTCGACCATCGCCACCATCGCCGACTCGGCTGAGAATGCCTTCGAGCAGTACTACGACACCCTGATGCCTTTGTTGTTCAACGTCTTGAAGGAGGAGCAGTCCAAGGAATACCGCCTGCTTCGCGCCAAGGCGATGGAGTGCGCCACGCTGATCGCTCTGGCTGTCGGCAAGGAGAAGATGGGCCAGGACGCGCTGAACCTGGTGCAGCTTCTGGGTAACATTCAACAGAACATCGTCGACGCGGACGACCCGCAATCGCAGTACCTTCTCCACTGCTGGGGCCGCATGTGCCGGGTCTTGGGCCAGGACTTTGTCCCTTACCTCCCTGGTGTCATGCCGCCTTTGTTGACGGTTGCTGCTGCCAAGGCTGACATTCAGCTCCTCGACGACGAGGACCAGATCGACCAGGTCGAGCAGGACGAGGGCTGGGAGCTGGTGCCTCTGAAGGGCAAGATCATCGGTATCAAGACCAGCGCACTGGAGGACAAGAACACCGCCATTGAGCTCATCACAATCTACGCGCAGATCCTGGAGGCTGCGTTTGAGCCCTATGTTCTGGAGACGATGGAGAAGATTGCCGTCCCCGGACTTGCATTCTTCTTCCACGACCCCGTGCGGGTGTCGTCTGCTAAGCTGATTCCCCAGCTCCTGAACTCTTACAAGAAGGCGCACGGCGACCAGTCAGCTGGATTTGCCGGCATCTGGAGCAAGGTGGCGGAGAAGATCATTGAAGTGCTCAGCGCCGAGCCCACGGTCGACACGCTGGCGGAGATGTACCAGTGCTTCTACGAGTCGGTGGAAGTGGTGGGCCAGAGCTGCCTGACCCAGCAGCACATGCAGGCGTTCATTGAGTCGGCCAAGTCGACGCTGGAGGACTACCAGGTCCGCGTGAAGGCGCGTCTTGAGGACCGTGCGGAGGCGGATGACGGCGAGGAGGACAACCTCGACTACGAATACGCGATTGAGGACGATCAGAACCTTCTCAGTGACATGAACAAGGCTTTCCACTCCATCTTCAAGAACCAGGGCACAACGTTCCTGCCGGCGTGGGAGCAGCTGATGGCCTTCTACGATGCATTCATCACCAGCGAGGACCCGACACAGCGGCAATGGGCGCTGTGCATCATGGATGATGTGCTTGAGTTCTGCGGGCCCGAGTCGTGGAACTACAAGGACCACATCATGCAGCCCCTGGCAGCCGGTCTGCAGGACCCTAATGCGGCCAACCGCCAGGCTGCGGCGTACGGTGTGGGCGTTGCTGCCCAGAAGGGCGGTGCCGCGTGGGCCGACTTTGTGGCGGCCAGCATCCCCAGCCTATTCCAGGTGACGCAGATCAACCAGGCACGCAGCGAGGAGCACGTGTTCGCGACGGAGAACGCATCGGCCAGTATCGCCAAGATCCTGCACTACAACGCCAGCAAGGTGCAGAACGCCCAGGAGATTGTGGCCAACTGGATCGGCACGCTCCCGATCACATTCGACGAGGAGGCTGCTCCGTACGCCTACTCCTTCCTTGCGCAACTCATTGACCAGTAAGACCCCCAAAGTTGCTGAATAGTATCTAATAATCATACTGACTGATTTGCAATAGACAAAACCCCGTGGTGATGTCCAGCGCCGACAAGGTATTCGGACACATTGTGCAGGCACTGGAAGCGGAGACGCTGCAGGGCCAGACAGCCGGCCGGGTGGCCAACTCGGCGAAGCAGCTGGTGGCCGCCACAGGGCTGAACGCCGAGCAGATCCTGGCGGGTGTCAACCCGGACAACCAGGCTGCGGTGCGCAGCTACTTCCAGTGAGTCTGCCATGCGATGATATGATATAAACCAGTTGGGGACGGGGTTCGGTTTGGGAAATGTTCATATGCCATGAGTTGAAATGAGAATTGCAATGCGATAAGGACAACAACATCAACCACCATCAATAAGGATATGGGATTTATCTATTTTTTTTTCCGACAGTTATTTTTATATTCCTTCTATTGTTATGCTTTTATTGTTAAAGGTGTATAGCGGTTTCATGAGAAGAAGACAAGACAAAGACGTGACGTAGTCGGGAGCCATAATAAGCCGAATACATACATACTACTACATATACCACATATCTTCCACTCCCAATCAATCCTATACTATAGACATAAGAGACAGAGAGAAGAAATACAGGGAAGTAGAGAGATCAAGCAACCGTCTCCAAAATCTCCAACACCTGCCCCTTCTCCTGCAGCGGCACCACATTCGCCTGACACCACCGATCATGCAGACTATGTTCCGCCAGCGCATCGAACTGATCCCGCCCCACCCCGACCGCCTGCAACGACCGCGGCAGCCCTAACTCTCGAATGACCGCGTCCAGCACATCCCCGAGGTCAACTGCTGCGTCTGCGTAATATTTACGCACTACCCCCGCCACACCCTCCTGCCGGAGCAGGAAGTCGCGGAGTTTAGTCTGTCGGGGAATCACATCGCTGTTGCTGCTGCTGCTGTGCTTGGCGTTGTATTTGCATACGGCGGGGAGGAGAATACAGCTTGTTTCGCCGTGGGGCACGCCGAAAGGGCCGAGCTATCATTACCAATCGCATGTAGTTTAGTACATATATATATATACACATCTTTGTGGTATATGAAAGAGTGAGAGAAGGGGATACTAACCTGATGCCCGATCCCATGACTCGCCCCCAAAGGCAACCCCGCCGAACAAGCAGCCATAGCATCCACACTGCCCAAAGCACAATCCAATCGCGCTGCTTTCCCTCCATCACCATCTGCATCTATCCCATCTTTATTGTTTAACCTACACTTCACCAACCCAGGTATCAACAACCCCAACGCATGCAACGCCAATCGATCTGTCTCCTCCGTAACCCCATCTTTACTTCCCACCCCGGAGGACAGATACGTCTCGACGCAATGATCCACCGCGCGAATCCCCGTCCCTAACCAGATCCGTTCGGGAGTGGTGGCAGTCAGCTCGGGGTCAAGTATCACCAGCTGCGGGCCGCGGATCGGTGCCCCGAAGGAGTATTTTCGACGTGAAGTGTCGTGCGTGGCGCCCGCGAAGGAGGAGTATTCGCCCGCGGAGAGGGAGGTGGGGATGGAGATGATGGGAATGGAGGGGGGTTTGATGGGCGGGTTCGGAGTGGGTGGTTCGCTTGTTAAGGTAAGGAGGGTGGATGGGGTGGTGGTGTTGTTGGATATTGCCTTTAATGATTAAAATTATATTACCAGTATGGGTATGAGATAATGAGAAAGGTAAAAGGGAAGGGTAAATTACCAACGCAACCACCTTCGCGGCATCAGTTAGACTCCCCCCGCCCAAAGTAATCAGGAGATCTGCTTCCACCGCTTGGGCGTCGCGGACTACTTCTAGCACTTCGGACCAGAGAGTGTGGCTTTGCATGCCGATGCGGGTCCCTGCAATTTTGTCTGGTCCCAGGGCCCGGGTGAGACGGTCGAGGGCGTCGGTGTCGCGGGCGAGGGAGGCGGAGCAGAGGATGTAGATTTTGGAGGCGTGGAAGAGGTCGGTGATATGGTGGGCTGCGGACGAGGAGAAGGGGATGCCGTAAGAGAGGAGAGGCCGCGGTCGGTCGGCGAAGGCTGGACGGAGGGTTTCTGTCATGTTGAGATGATGGTGATGATGTTGCTGATGATGGGGAGTGTATGTATGTATATGGGAGGTATGAGACGAAGGGAAAGAATTGAAAGGGACAAATGTGACTCTTATATACACTCTGTCAGGAGGATTGGATGTGGGATCTGCCTGTCAGCAGACTGCGAGTGCCCCAAGCAAGGGTGATGTACTCTTGAAGTAGCTGCGATGTATATTCCAAAGAGACCCGCGATGTGGGAGGTGGGGCCCGGCGGGGCGGAGCGGAGGTGATGTCATTCAGGAATTCATGCAGTTACAAGGTATGTAGTAGTCAGTTATTGGTTTCCAACTTGCTTCATGATTCAAGTTCAAGTTCAAGTTCAGTCATTCACTACGACGGTCCAACTCCCTAACGCCTCCAAAGCCAGCACGATATCCTCCCGTCCGCATTAGTACATATTAAGACATCTTTCCATCTACCCCGTCCGCTCATCTTCGTCCACCGCCGCCCGCAATTCCCATACAATGTCGTAGCATTCCGCCAGCAACGCGTTCACGCTGCCCTGGCCTTCGGGGATGTCGGTGCCCACGTAGAACTTGCCGTCCACCCGCATGTTGTCAATTGAATTGAGCTATTGGATGTCGTTAGTGCCTGCACACTCTCATCTGCGAAATTAGCACCCACCTTCATGCTGTACGGATAGAGCTCGCGCGAGTTCGATACGCCCCCTGACTCCTGCACCTCCAGCAGGCATTTCCGCAGAGTCTGCAGCTGGTTGTACACTGGCAATAGCGCCTCCGACACCGGCTCCGAGGAGATCAGCAGCGCATAGATGTACCCGTAACTACGCCGGATCAGGTACAATAATGTCTACAGCAGAGTCAGCGTGAATCTTGGAAACCCCCCGATAAAACTTACCCTCTGCGCATGAATGTCTGCTGCGTTGCCCTCCGCGTCCACAAAGTTGCCGTTCACCCGCGCCTCGTCAATCCGGTCGAGTTTGCGCTGGTAGCCAAACAGGTCTGTCTCACGGAGCGACCACGCCTGTGTCACAGCCAGACGGTCCAGCTGATTGCGAATCTCGATCAGTCGATCGTATTGTTCCTTGAACCTTTCGTCGATCTTTCCTTGTCTGCAACAATATCAGCACCGAATTCTAACACGGACCCATCCATACATACCGCTCCAGAACAATCTCCGTCCAGAGCCAACACCGTTCCATCAGCAGCTTAACATCTTGCTGAGCACCGGGGAGCGGTACTCCTTCAGCATCCACGAATTGTCCATCCTTCATACCCTCTTCAATCTTCTTCAATTGGGTCCGAAGCGTAGTGACCTCGGATGATGAAAACTACCAGTGTCAGCTTGCACGCATCCGATCGGCAAGGGTGAGCTACCTTGGAGCGCGTGTTCACGGCCGACGTTGATCGCAGAATGGAGACAAGTGTCTCATGTGTAGCCGCCAGTTCCGGGCCCAGCTTGGCCAGACCACTCTGCAACTTCTCCAATAGCAGTTGGCATTTCTCCAGACGGCTCTCGAGCAGGGTGATAAGGGCGGGGGAGTAAGCTTGGCGGCATCGATCAAGAGTTTCGTTCATGTTCGCAAGGGTCTTGGTAATGGAGATCAGGTCTTTGGAGCTGTAGAAGCCGGCCTCTTCCAGGTGATCGAGTAGACGCTGAAGGGTTAGTAGGGGCTAGTGTCACAGAGACGGTCACGCGTACCTGAACAGTCGTCGCAAGAGAGTATCTGTATTACAGCGACAACGATGTTAGTATAGTCCACCTCATTTCGGACGAAGGGCACATACACGGCAGGAGCTTCATTGTTGCGACCAACGGTCAGAAATAGCAGCGAAATGAGCTGGAAGCAATCGTCAAGAACATAGTCCACTAGAACATCGCACAAGTTAGCATTCCCATAGTCGCCATCATCCATACACAGGCCCACTCAGTGCTAACGTCGATTATGTGCCCGCCGGCGATCCTGTTCCTTGCGCGCGGCATTGAGCTTTTCTACCTCGGCGACCACCTCTTCATACAGAGGAAGAACATCGCGAGATTTGATGTATGAAGACTTGTCCTGCTTGAGCAGGATGAGAGCATCGCGAGTGCGCAACAGACGCTCAAGGATTGGCTGCTCTTTCGGGTCCAGCGGGGCGGGGACAGCGGGGGAGTCCATGCTGCTGAAGAGGGGGAGAGGGGAGAGGGAGAGGAGGGGGGAAAGAAGATAGGTAATGGAGGTAATGAATCGGGGACGCCGATGCGGATGAAGCGGAATTCAAAGAGATACCCGAGATGATTCTATATCAGCGACACAACAGCCAAGACAGGTAGACAGAATTCAATAAGAGATACATCCGCAATGAAGAAAGTCAACGGGCGGGAAAGCAACGTGAAGCCCATCAGGCGATGATGGCATTGCCAAGCAATATGTCCCGAAGCAGGCTAGCGCGGAGTCACGGGCGAGGGGCGGTGGCACTAAGCCCAAACGGGAGCAGCCCTAAGCGAGGGCTTCTGCGGCGCTCAACACACAACTTCCGTTCAGGGCGAAGCGTTAGTCACTCACCGTCCGACTCCCCTTCTCGACCAGGCCGTTACAAAAAAGTCTCCCGTCCTTCTCTTCCTCTTTTTATCCCCATCCCTCTCGAGACTCCAGTCCAGTCCAACCCCCCCGTCGACCACCATGTCTACTGCCGAGCTCGCTTGCTCCTACGCCGCCCTCATCCTCGCCGATGACGGCATCGAGGTCACCGTACGTATTGACCCTTGATTTCAACCCGGGCATTGGAATGGCAGGCAAGGATAAGACAAAGTGCTGGGAGAGAGCAGGAAAAAATAAAGGGTGTCGCGAGAAAGAGATGGATCTGGAGGATATCAAGGATTCGGAACATGCAACAATTGCCGGGTTGAAAAATGCAAGGTTACAGGATCAAATTTGGACTAATAATGCAATTTCTTGAATATAGGCCGACAAGCTCCAGACTCTCCTGTCTGCCGCCAAGGTTCCCGAGGTTGAGCCCATCTGGACTTCCATCTTCGCCAAGGTAAATTAAATCCGTCCAAGCTTCGCAACACATCTCAGTTTCATCATCGCATGCGATTCGCGATTCACCCGATTATCAATCATCACCACCCTGGAATCAAACACAAAACTTACACGTCGGTTTTTTCCAATAGGCTCTCGAGGGCAAGGACATCAAGGAGCTCCTGACCAACGTCGGCTCCGCTGGCCCTGCCGCCCCCGCTGCTGCCGCCGGTGGTGCTGCTGCCCCCGCTGAGGCTGCTGCCGCTGAGGAGAAGAAGGAAGAAGGTACGGAACATCCAACATACCCATTGTCTTGGCGATTGCAATGGCAGGGCATAGGAAAAGGAACACTTGGACTAACTTCTATACAGAGAAGGAGGAGTCCGACGAGGACATGGGCTTCGGTCTTTTCGACTAAGCGTCTTCAACCGTTCGGGTTTCCTAATTTTTCCTTTTCTATCTCGTTTCCTTACTACCTCCTTTTCGCCCCCTCGCATTTCTTGTACCTGATACTACGCGACCGCACGAAGACCAAAAAGGGAAAATTAAAAGAAAGAATGAACGGACAAGGACATCCGGTGGGACTGGGCGCTCTGCTCGCATGATAGGCTCCGTCGTGAAAAAGAACCAGAAGTGTGTCTCTTACGTAGTACTTTCTGGGGGGGGAACCGCGATGCCGTTGGGATTCCGGTTTTTCCTGGGGGGGCGAAGAGATTCGGCTTCGGCTCCTCTTGTGTCTCTGATGTTGTGTGTGCTTGTTGCTACTATGCTATATGGCGTGTTCTTTCGAGCTTAGGTGCCCCAGCTCTCATGCAATGTCTGTCATGCGACCATGAGCAAAACCTCGTTCCCACTGTTCCCCTTATGTTCTGTAGATTTAAATGTAGAAACCAGTAGTTTGTAGGGCTATAGTTTAGTACTCCTATACTATACTCCGCCTGCCCTGTGCACCACTTCCCCATACAACAATTCCGCCAATCAATGTACATCAACAACAGCAAATCAGTATCAATATCGATAACAATAACATATCCACTCCGCAATGCAAGATCAAGATCAAGATAAAGATCTTTTAGAGACCGCCAGCCCATACAGTACAACCAACCAAGAATACAACCCCAGACAATGAAAGACTAGCTAGACACGCTAAACCATCAGCAGCATAGAACCGAGACAACTTTAGAAACAACACACAACACCAAATTAATGTTCAACAGACGCGCTAAACAGCAGCCGTGTCCTGGTCGCGTGTCGCGTAGAGTCGGAACTGCACGAAGATAGTCACGTCCTCGACCATGGTGCCGAGCGAACCAATCAGCCATGGGACATTTGTCACGATATAGTTCTTTTCTGTGGAGTGACAGATGATCTGTATAAGATCAGTTAGTCTGGTTTATGTGAGTCACGAGGAGTGAAAGTGAGACTTACGCCTGCGCCGTAGGTGAGGTTTCCCATAAGGGAGAGGATGAAGAATAGTAGCGAGAGTCCTATATCCATATCTGTTAGCTCATCACAACAATCAATTAGAGAGGAAGGGATGTACATACCCTCACACGACTTATCGCAGTAATTCTTGTAGATCTGCGGAAGTCGCGCCCTATTATTCCATTAGCACAATCACTCTCCCCAACCAAGCGTAGAAAAGTAAACATACCCAAGATAACAAACCGCACTAATATACCCCAACACCATTGCCCCAGGCGCCATATCCACGCCTCCCAACCCCTCCTCCACAGGCGCAGGCTTCCACACGCCCGTCCGCCACGCAACCGTCCACCCCGCCATCCCAATGACGCAGATGCCCAGCACACTGCTAAAATTCTTCACCCACGCCTTGCGCCCCACATCATTCTCCTCGACAATCTTAGCCAGCATGTCATCACTGCTGCTTTCCGCGCGGCGCGTCGAGTTCCTAGGGTTGTCCACAATCTCACCAGTCTGCGTATGCGCATACGCATCGCTGAACCGCCGGCCCAGAAGCGGCGTCGTCGGATCGGGCGTGCTTGGCTCAAAAACGGAAGAGGAGGTGCGGCGGCGGGGGCGCGGCTGTCGGGAGTTCCGCGCCTTGTAGTAGAGACATTGTCCGATGAGAACCCCGTCCGCGATACAGAAGTACACGGCGATGGCGACGATCACGGGCACGAGACCTGCCCAGGCGCCTCCGATTAGGTTTGTGATGTCGCCAAGGAACCAGACGAAGAGGAAGAGGAGGGAGATGGCTTCGGCGTTGCCGTTGCGGTAATTTTCGATTAGTTGGGGGACCTCGAAGCTTGTTAGTATGGCTTGTAGTATGGGGAGGGAATAGAGGATTAGAGGGCTTACGAGGAGAAAGATCCAGCAGGTGAGTGATATTGAACCCAGCAAGCCGGAGGCTGCTTCGCGAGGAGTGAGAGGGACAGAGTCAGCATTGGTAGCTGTCCAGAGAGTCGCCATGTTGAATTGAGGTGTTGGGGGGGCAGTGAGGTGCAAGAGTTGTTGCTGAGGTTTGGAGGGAACTCTTGCGGACTGCTCGACTCAGTCAATGACGGGCAGAGATAAGGAACCCTCCGATGATAGCGGTTTTATTGAGAAAATCCCTTGCCGGCCGGGCGCATGAGGTCACAGGGAAATAGGGTCGCGATAAGAGCGGATAATGAAAAATGAAGGGTCAGCTGCTCGATTCGGAGGAATCCGGTGGTTGAAGAAATTTTCATGGAATGTGTAGGAGGAAAAGCACGAAGGAATGAAGCTATTAAAAAGGCGACAATTGAGTCACTTGGTGACTGAATAGATTGGCGCATGGTTGCGGGTGGAGCCGGTCAGGAATGCTTTTGACTAAGCTGTCTGTCTTTTGCACTGTCATTCTTCTAAGTTCTAACTTCATCCGATCGCTTATCAGCTTGGAGAGTCCCCCTTGATTGATTGTCGATTTATTTGGATGGGGATAGAGTTTCTTTGGGGACATGTAGGGGAGTATCTGTGAAACTAGAATGGATACATTTAAGCTGCATGACCGTTGGTGACGTCGTATTGCTACAGGGGTCCCTTGTGAAGCAGGCCATACTAGGTTGTACTGCTATTTTTAAAATATAAATACACTTCAATTGTGTATTACTCGGCCGCGATAGCATCAACACATACGATCGATATTAAAAACGATTACTACATTAGACCAAGTTATCTGTCTTCATTGAAGTTCCTGTCGTGATATTGAGTAATTTTGCTCAACAACCATCTATATTCTATGCTATCTACTATGACCAGCTGGATGCCCATGCGGCAAATACTTTTCCTAATTTCACATTGGTAACACAACGCGATACTTCATCCTGGGTATCAAGCTTCTTCCTCATCATACTGAAGCAGCTGGAGCTCGTCTTCCAGCATGGAAACCACCATGTCGCCCATCGCCTCCCGAATCGGTCCATGCAGCAAACGCTCGCGCTCCGACTCTGGCTGAACCAATTCCAAGCCATCCACATACTCCGTCAGCGGGGAATAGTCGAGTACTTCGCCCCAGTTTCCGCGGTCAACTCCATACTGCTGGATGAATGCTTCCAACGTGTGCATCCCATCGTTTAACAGCCACTGTTCGAGGACTGGTTGCTGATCGGCGCTGGGGTGGGCCGGCGCACGGTTGTCCTCAGCTTCGGTCTCCGATGGAACGTCATCTTCGTGTACTTCCTCTCCATCACGCTGGAACCGAGGGAAATGAATAGCTCCGTTGTTCAGCTGATCAAGCAGGTCTCGCAGCCATTGTGGCCGCCCTACATCTGGTACCTGCGACAAGTAGGATGGCGTGGGGTCGGACTGCTGACGATAGGCTTCCGACTCGTACGGAGGAAGGGGGTCGGATGCGGAGAGACGTCCAGCGACGAAGCGATTTGGAAGATGTGTCGTGACCCGAGGGATATCGGACAGTACAACATGGCGTGCGATGTCCAGCGATATCTCCGGCGGCTCAACGGGCTCTTCTTCGTCGGGAAGCGTGTCGGCCACTTCTACGATCAAAGAAACCGCTTCAGGAGTGTTCCAGAGGTCTTTGGCACGGCTAATGTAGAGTTCGGTGAAAAGTTCGTGGGCATCCGTGGGTGGCATCTTGCCCCAGATCCTCTTTGGCATGGGCTGGATGTCGAGCTCTTGCGCCATCTTACAGAATACCCACGGGTAGCGCGACATGGCTCGCCGCAGCTGCTCGCGGCATTCCTTCGGTTTGTTGAGTCGTAGATAGGCCAGCGCGAGCGAACACTGTATATTGGGAAGGGTGTCCCACTCCTTGCTCAGACGCGTCTGTGTGCAGAGATCCACGAAATGGGCATATTCTCGGCCTCGCAGGGCCAAGTGATCGATAAGAAGCCGGATGCAGTAGGGGTCAGTCTCATTGAGACTCAGTAGTAATTTCGCCCACTCATACGCCGTCCGCCAAGTACCCTTCATCCCCAGATTAGCAATGTACCTCCAGCCAACCAGCCACAGCTCGCGGTTCTCCATATGCACAAAGTCAAGTTTTGCCTGGCCTTGCTTAACGAGGTTGCTGAAAGACGAATGGGCTGAACGCCCGATGTTGAACAGTGCGCGCTCGAGTAGATCGGCCGAGACTGCATGATCACCCTGATGCTTTGCTATCTCAGACACCTGTAGGAGGGTAGAGATGTGGTAGGGGTTGTATTGTAAGAGGTGGATCATTCTTTGGGGATCCATCGACTCCACGCACATATCGAACTGTCTCTGCACGTCTGTATAGGATGAATTGTGCACAATCTTGTACATAGTAGAGCCATTTTGGAGCTTTTCGACTAGCTCCATTCCAAGACCACCACTGGGAGATCGAGGCCACTCATCCCTGCCCTGCATGAGAACGTTCCGCCGCTGCGTCACGCCAGCCAGACTCTGACCCCTACTGGCAGGGCTGTACCGACCTGTCAGTGCCTGCCCTAAGTCAAGCGTCTCTCGCCCTCTATCCCTTCTGCGACCTGATCCAGTATCTTGATCGAAGTTTTCCAACACGACATTCCCAAATAATTTGCGCATCTCGTTCGTCGCATTCAGGCATCTAGGATCAATGGCGAGAAGCGCTTCCGGTGTTTTCGGGAATCCAGCATCACGGTCTTCTGCGGCGCCTGGACCACCAGTGTGTGCGGAATGTTTAGGGTTGACGGCCAAGTCTTTCAGCGCTTTGTCGATATCATCCAGTCCTGTAGTCTCGGAAGTAGCAGCACCGGCCCCCGATTTAGCTCCAGCCTTCTTTTTTTTCTTGTTCTTCTTATTCTTCTTTCCCGGGGCTGCTGGCTTAGGTGCAGGTGCAGGTGCAGGAACCTCTTTAGGTTGAGTCACCGGCTCAGGTTCCTCAATCTCAGCTTCATTTTCGGACTCCTGCTCGTCTTCGTCATCGTCGACTGAGTTCAACAGATCGAAGGCGTTGAGCTTCGGCTTCGACGGCCGGACCACTGGCTCTTCATCGCTCGAGTCATCGTTTTCTTGTTCGACTTGTGCCAGCTGCAGCTCTTGTTCGCGCTGCTTCTGCAGCTTGCGGAGCGCACGGGAGGACATTCAGGAGTCGGCAATATATCCGAATATGTAGAGACTGGATTTACTGGGTGCAATGGGCCACACACGCAGACAGTGACAGGGAGAAGATATTGAAAGGAAGGGCCCAAGATCCATAGAACAAAAGAATATGATTGAATCGGGCAGTCCCGCGGGGAATGACGACACGGCCGAGACAGGCTTAGCGGGGTTCTGGCAGTTTTGCTTAAGCCCCTTTCGGAACATGCCGTATGTAATGTCACAAACAATACGTACACGGTATCACATGACGCAATGGCGGCGAGATCCCGTGGTTGAAGTAGTTGCTTGCCTCCACCGCATCTCGTTGTTTCTCACTTGCTTATCTTCTGCTTGCTTTTGTTGTTCTCCGAAACCAGAGACGGAGAGTAGTCAAGACACTCCCGGCTCACACACAACTCTCTATCCGCCGGCCCAATGCGTCGTGCGGCTTTTCAGGCCCTTCGTACTGCCCGTCGCGTGCCAGCATGGAAGGTCACTGGTAGGAAACCGTGCGCCGTGTCCTTCTCTAGCAGTCGGAGTCTCGGTCTACGTGCTTCCTCCACGGGCAAACACCCCTCTTATCTCTCCGCCCCCCTACAGTCGTCGATGCATCTTCGGAACTTCTCGCTCGCTGTCATTTCGACCGTCGTCGCTTCGGGCGCCTGGTACGCTTATCAGGGCACCGGCCAGACATCGGCGGGTCTGAACCCAACATCGTCGCAATTCCGTTCGTATTCGACCGCTGGTGCGCAAGCTGAAGCCCCTGCGGAGGCCACTCGACGTGCGCTGCTGGTGGATAATGACCAGTTTTTTACCGCCCCTATTTCTGGAGATCAGCCTTTATCCAAGCACACGGACGATTCCGACCGTCGAGTTCTCGAGATGTTGACCCCGGAGCAGGCCACACAGAAGCTCAGGAAGAACGAAGAGTCATATTTGGTGAACCGGGGCAAGGGAGTGGTCCGTTATGATATTGTTCAGGTGCCTAGTAATTCTCCGATCGAGGATGATCATGCCGAAAAGATCATTGAGGTGCCGTCGTCCGTAGCGGCAGCCAATCAAGGCGAATCCAAGAGTGATTGGATGTTCTGGGCGGTGTTTGATGGCCATTCGTACGTCTACAGAATTCCATACGATCAAGCATCTTCCCCTTACTAACTTATGGTTTTTCAGAGGCTGGACAACATCTGCCAAATTGCGCAATGTTCTCATCTCCTACGTCGCTCGTGAATTGAACACTACCTACAAAGCCGCAGCTGCAGACCCCTCTCTGTTGACGCCCTCGTCCGCTGCCATAGACGCCGCGATCAAGCAAGGGTTCACTCGTTTGGACGACGATATCGTGCACAGCAGTGTCGACAAGGTGCTCAAGTCCAACTCCCGCCGGGTCGCAGCCGAGATGCTTGCGCCTGCTCTTTCCGGATCTTGCGCTCTTCTTGCTTTCTACGACTCTCAATCTAAGGATTTGAAGGTCGCCTGCGCAGGTGACTCCAGAGCTGTTCTGGGTCGTCGCGCTGCGAACGGTAAATGGTCGGCAACACCTCTTTCCGAAGACCAGACTGGTGGAACTCCGTCGGAGATGAAGCGTCTACGGGAGGAGCATCCCGGGGAGCCCAACGTTGTGCGCAACGGACGGATTCTCGGACAGCTTGAGCCGAGTCGCTCTTTTGGAGATGCTTTCTACAAGTGGAGCAGGGATACGCAGGACAAGATCAAGCGACAGTTCTTTGGTCGCACTCCCCATCCCCTGTTGAAGACCCCTCCCTACGTGACTGCCGAGCCAATCATCACCACCACAAAGATGGACCCCGGCAGCGGTGACTTCCTCGTCCTCGCAACCGACGGTCTCTGGGAGATGTTGAGCAACGAGGAAGTTGTCGGTCTTGTTGGCCAGTGGGTTGAGCAGCAGCAGCAATTCGGCGCCAGTGGCAGCAACAAGGCCTGGCTGAAGAGCTGGTTTAGCTTTGGCAACAAGTCAGAGCTGCCCGTGGAAGGGCCCAAGGAGACCGACGCTGAAGGCCAACGCCGTCCCATTCGCCAGCAGCAATACGACATTGCTGGAGCAGCCAGCCGGTTCACTGTTGAGGATCAAAACGCTGCGACTCACCTTGTGCGCAATGCCATGGGAGGAAAGGACAAGGAAATGGTCTCCGCCTTGCTCACACTTCCCAGTCCTTATTCTCGCAGATACCGGTATGCTTCCTTCCCTACTTTATCTTTTCTAGGATTCCGCTAACTTCACCCAGTGACGACGTAACTGTCGAGGTTATCTTCTTCGGCGAGGGCCCTGACAACCGCACCGTCACCATCAACGAAGAGGCCAGCGCATCCGAGGAGAGCGTCAAGGCCAAGCTGTAGTTGTAAACCCATAACTTTTTACCATAAGACATTATTATGACTGGTGCTAAAGAGCCATAAAAAGAGAGATGCAAGAAAACATGCTTGATTGTCGATTTCCATTTCTTATCCTTTGTCTTTGATGCCCGTTCGTGATACATGCATACACAGTTGACGGCATCCACTGTCTTTTATGATTTTCTTTCACCCAGACTAAATGAACTGGCAGTACAGCCGGCGTTACGCGTGCGGAGCCTGGTGGGGAATATTATCTTGCTTTTAGTATGCATTAATTAGCTAGCATGGAATAAGATACACATGACATAGAATGTTACATTCGTGCAACTCGTGCTCTTTTACAAATGGAACTGATGCTATTCCTGGGGTATCGAGATTCGAATAATAATACAGAGCGGCATATGTCCGCCATGCCATAAATTGCGCTGAGATTGTCAAGCTTCCTCAGTGCTCGAACACCCGGTCTCCGGTCCGTCAGGCCAGGCCGTGACTCAATGGGTTCAGTTATGGACGAGCATGTATGAGACGATTGCACCCGGGTATATTCTCATGAAAGAAACCGCGACGCATATCCTTGCCCTGAGCGAGTGATAGATGTGTTGTCCCTCAGTGAGACTATCTCAGACGCATTTCAGTACTCGTGACTGAGCAGGGCCTGTCTCGCATCTTGACTCGGTCGGCTATAGCCTGATATTACATACTCCGACGTGTCCGCAATCCATGTCCATAGTCTCATTTCATGTCTTCTTATGCGGAGGCGCCAGGCGGTTTGGTGCTTTGTACATGACATAGTGTCTCTTCCAAACAGGTAGGGGCTTAACCGGGAAAAGCACCCGATCCAGGAGTAAGGTCTGTAACGTGGCGATGTTCGTACTGCTGAGCCAGTAGATCATCAATGCAGTAGGCATCTCCGACACATAGGATGACAATCCCACATTCAACGCCAGCACCTGAATGAACATCCGGATTCCCCGCAAGGAAAGCTGCTTGTACATCTCTATCTTGGGCAGATCCGCCAAGTTCTTCAAAGGCTGGGCCTTCCAACCCATTCGGATATTCAGCAGGATAGAGAGTGTTAGCGCCAAGGGCAGAATACCGGTAGGATCTCCGGCCAGGAGATCAGGGAACCAAAGAGCACCCTCATTGGCGAGTGAGGGCTCGACCGCCAGATGCAGGGCAGACGAGGGATCCGCAGACTCGGGCTCAAGGCGCGATAGGAGCCAGGGCACTAGACCACGGTCATTGCCGGACATGGCGCGGAGACTCTCCATGATGGAGATCCATATGGGTAATTGGAGGAAGTTCAGCGGTTTCCAGAACCGGGGAATGCCCAGGCGACGGTGTACGATTCGTTTCCTTTCCAGGAATTGCTTCATGAGCTGTTGCTTTTGGGCCCTTGTAGGGCCAATTTTGGCGAGCAACAGGCGGTCTTCGCGGGTGTATTCGTCTGACTTCTGCAATTTCTCTTTGAAACACCTGTTCCATGCTTGGAGGAGCGGTATCGCATCCCGTTCTCGTCTCGCTTGCATCTTGCTGTAGAGTTGCAGCGGCAGCGCAATGGATGTTCGGACGATCAGAGCGCTCAATGGGATGGAGACGGCCCATGATAGACCGGAAATGGCGTGGACATTGTGAAGAAAGGCGGAGGAGAGTTCGAGGGCTTCGTTGATGAAGGGAGTTGGGCGTGTTGGATGGAAATGCCGGACCTGCTGGAAAGCCGCCGTCTTGCGTGCGGGATGCGACAATCGGAAGGGCCGCATGTTAAGCAATTGGCTGGGTGGCTGGAGGTACGGACTAGAAAAAATAGGATATGTACAAGAATGAAATGATGTATTTATGAATTAAGAGACAATGCCTCACCAACACCGCACCGAGTTGATCAGATCAGACCAGAATGAGTTGGAAGGGCCGCGGAGGATGGAAAACATGTGATCACGTGGAATGCTCAAATCACGTGGTGATAGGAACAAGACAAGACTGACCATACCGTCAAGCTGTCTTGTATGTATGGTAACATACCATACAGGCTATCGATAAGATCTCGAGATCGACCCGCTTCTTCGCTTCGTCTTCAACCTCCACGCTGGCCAGTTTCATTCTTCTTCTCTTCCGCTTCTTATCCACCTGCCATGTCCGCAGCTGTCTCTCGTTAGCCATGATGCTGCTCATCCTCAAGTCGCTCCTCACCTTGCTCGCCCTCCTGGCGACCTGTGTGCTACTGCCCCAGCTGCCCCTGAGTCTTCTCCGCCTAGTTCTCCGCGGTGTCGGTTGGCTGGTCCAGAAGCGCACCCGCTCTCGCCGCGAGTATATCATCTCGCGCGTCCGCGCTGACGAGGAGGAACATGCTGCCCGCACAAAGTCCGCCTCTGCTACCAACTCCGGTGATGAGGAGGACTGGGAGAAGGTCGACACCTCCAGCTCCAGCTCCGGAACCGCTGGCATCAACCGCAATGAAGAATGGAATGGCATCATCGGTTTCTTCCATCCGTTCTGGTAATGCCCCAGCAAACCCCTCGTTGCAGCTCCCCACTGATCACTATTCTACAGTAACGCAGGCGGTGGTGGTGAACGTGTCCTCTGGGAGGCCGTGAGGGCGACCCAGAAACGCTGGCCCAAGGCCATCTGCGCCATCTACACGGGAGATCATG